GGTTCAAGTGATCCGTGAGAATCTCAATCGTCTGTTGACTGTACAGCAGATAGTGCCGCCATCGTTGTGTTGCCTCAATAATCGCGAGCAGCTCCGCATCGGGTGTCCCGTAGCGTAGCTCAGCACCTTTCAATTTCTTGGACATAAAAGCCACTGGGTGCCACCTGTCTCCGTGCAGCTGGCTAAGTACTGCGCCAATTGCGAAGTCTGATGCGTCAGTCTCTACACGTATAGGTAGTCCAGGCTCGAAATGCTTCAAGATAGGTGCTCGTGTGAAGGCCAGGCGTAGCTTGTAGAACGCCTCGTGTGCTACATTATCGAGCTGCAGCGCTCCAGATGATCCTCCCTTGAGTAGGTCTGTCAGGGGTGCTACTATCTTCGAGTAGTTCTTGATAAACCGGCGATAGAACCCAGTAAATCCGAGGAAAACCTGTATATCATGGATACTAGCCGGGGCTGGCCATTGCGCGATAGCATCCACCCTGTCGGTTTCCATGCGGATCCCCTCCGGTGACACCACGAACCCTAGGAACTCGACTTCTTGCGTGTGGAAGACGCATTTGTCTTGATTAGCGTACAGGCCAGCGGCGTCCAACCGGCGGAGGACCTCCCGGACATGCTCTGGGTGTGACTCCCTGTCCTTAGAGAATATAAGGATGTCGTCCAAGTAGACGATACAGATCACGTCCACAAGTCCAGCTAGTGCGTCGTTGATGTAGCTCTGGAAGGTCGCCGGCGCATTAGCTAGTCCGAACGGCATGACCAGATACTCAAAATGACCGTATCTCGTCCGAAACGCCGTCTTCCATTCGTCTCCTTCGCTGATCCGGACCCGGTGGTATGCGTCCTTCAAATCTAGCTTCGTGTACCACTTCGCGGAAGCTAGCCTATCCAAGATCTCACCGATCAGTGGTAGTGGCGCTCTGTTCTTCACAGTGATCTTGTTAAGGCCTCTGTAGTCTACACATAGCCTCAACTTTCCTCCTTTCTTCGGTACGAATAGGATCGGCGCCCCAGCTGGGCTCTGCGAGGGCCGAATCCATTTCTTGCTCAAGGCCATTTTCAAATATTCTCGTAGTTCCTCGAGCTCTTTCTCCGCTAGTGGATAGATGGGCCCGTGCGGCGGCTCGGCACCTGGCTCTAGCTCGATCTTGTGTGACCGAAACCTTCCATCTGGCAATTTCCCTGCTAACTGCGCGTCGAATAGATGGAGGAATTCTGCGTATTCCGACGGCACGGTGGCACACTTGGTCTGCGGCTCTGCTCCGGCTCCTCTGTCCTTGCTAGCTTCGACCCTTGCTACCGCGGGCACTGCTATCATACTGTACTTTGCCTCGTGGTACGCATTCCGTATATCCTTCTTGCTGGTCACCAGTTGTAGACTGTCCACGTCGAGAGGGTACGTCCATCCTAACGAGGACCATCGAAATATAGGCTCAACGGCACGGCACCAGGGGAGCCCAAGGATTGCAACCCAGTCTTCTGCGTCTGAGACTCGGAATTCGTGAGCCTTCGTCTTCGTCACCCCGAAGCCGTCCGTCATCTTTGTATGTAATACCCTCTTGCCATAGTTGGGACCTTTGCTTCCCCACATGCCCCGCAGCGTCTCACCGGAGTCTTGTAACGTACCCGGCTCGATGCCAAGCACTCTTGAGTCCACGACATTCTCGTCGGCTCCGGTGTCAATCAAGGCTTTTCCAATGCGCCAGCAGCCGCCAACCCGGAGACGGATGGTGGTTTCCAGACGGAGCGGCTGCTCGTACCCCTATTGAGGCTCGGTGTGGCGGACCCCCAGCGGCGCTGTGTTTGGGTTCCGGTCCTCAGGACAAGGTCCGTCATGTTTGGTTCTACCGCAGGTCCTGCAGTTAGGGCATTGTCGAGAGTAATGTCCCGTCTGTCCGCACGAGTAGCACTGGCCGTAAGCCACATCCCTCCTGGGCGCCTGTTGGCCTGCATTCCCGTCTGATGTTTCTTCCCTTGCTGGTGCTGGGGTCGAGGACGATGTTGCGTTGGTCCTCGGGCCAGGCTGTTGGTACACCGGTGGTCTGCTGCTTATTTCAATCGCCTCGGCTTGCTTAGCTACGTCGTCAAGCTCATACCGAGTCGAGGGAAGTCCTCGGGTCATGACTTGTCGCTTCAACTCCGGTCGTAAGCGGTTGAGTACGTTGACGACGCGTATCCGTTCCGGTAGTTGATCAGGGCACTCTGTCTCTATAGCATCGTATACGTCGATGAACTGCTGGTAGCTCTGGTTGGGGCGCTGGGTGATACTATCGAGTCTCTGCATCACGCTGATCACTCGCGTATCGTCGCTAGCCACACTCCTCTCCAGCCACTTCTCCATAGCGTCCCACCGGACGTTCCCCAAGTCGTTTTTGTAAATAGTAGCAACGTGGCTGGTCCACCGTCGTTGCACCGCCCCATCAAGGCATCCGGTGGTGTGCAGTACACGCGCCGCATCAGTGTCGAAGTCCTCCGCGTACATCATGAATCTCCCCTTTAGGTTTAACATGAACGAGGTAAGTTCCGACCAGTTGGTGCCCCGGTACTTGAGTGTCGGCAAGTGGCCTCTCCCTCCTAGATCAAGCCGAGGTCGCTTTAGGCCTGGTCCGATAGGTTCAACCTGGGTCCCACCGGCGGTACTATTATGCGGCTCTCCCCTTCTTAAAGCTTCCAATTGTCCAATCCTTTCTCGTTTCTTCTTCCTCACTACTTCTTCTTCCACTAGACGGTCAAGCTCTTCTAGCTCGAGCTCCTCTAGTTGGGACCGGCTCAGTTGCCTCATCGTCGCTGTTGTCGTCGTAGCGTCGACAGTGCCACTGCTCGTCTGCGTCGCTGTCGTCGTCGTTGCACTACTCGATGTAGCTCCTCCGGTGTCACCCAGCGTGCCTGCGGCTGTGGTCTGGCTTCGCATCAGGGCTCTTCGCATCGCCATTTTCTCCCCAACGGTCCGTACGCCCGGAGACGGGTGGAGAGATCAACGTGTCAGGGTACGGCTAGGCCGAAGGCAATAGTACAGAGTGATGGGGAGTAACGGGCGTCCCTCCTACGTAGCACCGGGTGGTCACTGGCGGTCTCAGGTAGGGGTGCCCACGGTGATGCATTGATCTCTGCCCTCTCTATCTTCCTCCGTCTCGACTCCTTACTTATAGCCAGCCGAGTTTCTCTCTTGGATTCTGGATGTTTGCTTCCGTATGTCTGTGTTCCTCCGACTTCGGCCAATATCTTGGACAGCGGCTCCTTATCTGCAACCAAGCGATTCCCTATCCGCTGCAAACGGCTTCAACGGCTCTCATTCGCCACAAGCGGCTCTCTAGCCGCCACAAACGGCTTCCTACCTGGTGGAAGCCGGCCCGCCTCGGATGACACTTGTGGCTCTGACAACTCCTTCCCTATCCTACTTCGAGATGGTCCTTATATAGATAGCTAGGCCGCCGCTTGGACCCGGCATAACAGCAGGGTCGGCGATGCCAAGGATCTTGACTCTCGTCATCCCAAAGCTTCACATAGATTGTAATCATGATTCGGGAGTCTTTTGTCCGAAACACCCCTCCGGCGGCCCGCCGGTGTCCTGCGTTCAGTGTCCTGACACCCACTGGTGCCTATGGCATTCTGTTCTCTGACAGGTAGTTAGCGAAGGCTATATCTCTTAACTAGGCTCCCTGAATCCGTCATGAAAGAGTAGACCTTAGGACACTATGCTTATATGCTGCTTTTCGGAGGCTTTGACTAGTAGCTATTGCTTAAAGAGCTCGATAGATATTATCTTCGGTATATTAACTTATATTAGTGTAGAGAAGACGTACGTAAAAATTCGTAACGATTAAATCGATATTAGTAAAGATAAAAGAGGTTGAAGTTAGAGGCTAGCGGTGTTAATAAGGCATTTTTAGGCGTCCCACATGTGGGGGTGTCCCGGATGTGGGTGTGGGACGTTAGCTGAAGTGGAGAACAGAAAGGAGGTAAAGGATTCCCAATGGTCCTTCTCTCCTTGAGCGTCTAGAGATAATATCGTTTTTAATCTTGGTACATCAAAGGAGCGTTAGAGATGAAAAGAAACCTAGCCACAAGGACCAAGAAGAAAAGCAGCAGTCATGCCGGCTTCGCCCAACCTATGGCAGACTTCCAAATAATTGAGTTGGAGTAAACCCGAACCTGATCTAGGTCAGAGTCACTTTTTCCACGTAATCAAGAGGTTGATTATGGTGAACTACCTAGTCTCTGGGTTTAATCCTGACTTTTGATTAAATCTGCCCATAGGTGTCATAAAGCCGGGCGAGAGAATATTGTGGTTACACGCAGCCGTGCTTGGCATTGTAAAGTCTCCCAAAAAGAGTCATCAACCATGGAATGTTCGAGGAAAGCGCAGTATCAGACCGAGCCCCTATTCTATGCTGTAATCACTAGTAAACACCGTCTATTAGTATTCCATAGCTAGTAACTAGAAATGACCGGAAAGCGGAGATCGAGCATGTTTTTATGTTGCGCCTCGGTCGACCGTCACACATCTAATATGGTTCGAAGCCAGGAACCAAGAAGTCCAAAACTCAATTGCTAGAGTGTTATAGACCATCAAACGTAGAAACGAGCCGTTGTTCCTATTACAGTTTAAGACGAGACAATGACCCAGAAATTTAGAGACCGTTCAATCATACGAAGCTGCCGAAGTACGACTTCGTCGTTCTGGATCGCGGTATATACACTTGAAGCTCCTGTACCAATTCGAGGAGGTTATGAGAGAGCTGGTTTGCGAGTATTCTCAGCTTCCATTGTAAGACGTCTCTTATACTAGTCACTCATTAGGACATCAAGGTGGTCTCCCGGGGATCATCTAAAGGTATAAAATGAGTCTGTTTGCTCGATTAGAAGGATAGGATTTCCATCACCCGTCCAACAAACAAACTTAATCCAGTTTCCACCTCATCCAACCTTTTACACTCGCTCCCAAAACCAAACAAACGCACTCGCTCTCCAGCCTTCCTCACCAACCCCCCATCAAAATGCGCTTCACCGCCGTCATTGTGGCAGCCGTGCTGCCCTTCGACGTCATGGCCGCCCCCGCCCCCGATGACAAAGCCATTGAGTTCTCCCAAGAAGGTTTCGATACCGACGTCCCGGACGTGGTCCCCGCGGACTATGACTCCAACGCCGAGGTAGTCAACATGATGGCCGACTGCTCCGAGTGGACGATCCGCCACCTCAAGCGCACCTGCAACCGACACGATACTTCTTGCTGCTGGGACTTCGCCATCGATACGGGCCACCACGACAAGACGCACTGCAGCTTCACCATCGAGGGCCACCACGCTTCGCGTACTGATATCAGCGGAGTCGACTGTGGACCGTTCACAGTGTCGGCTGGCTGGAGTGGCCAGTTCGGCGAGGACAATGGGTTTTACGTCCTGTCGGTTGTAGATTATGAGGAGAAGCTCATTGTTTGGCCTGGATACACTGATGAGGAGCTTGGTTGCAATGGAAAGGTCGTTCGACCTAACAAAAGCTATGCCCCTGCTCGCATTCCTGGCTACTAAATCTGTGGGCACAACTCTACTCCGAGGTATGGACAGACATCACAACAGTGTGAGATAAGCGTGGTCACCGGAAGGTCATGAAATAACAAAACGGGTGTCAGTCAATCACAGTCATATAATTCTGATAGTGGTGGGAAAACGAAATATTCAACTCGTTGGATAGGTGGTGTTTTTATTTACTTTTAATACAATCATGCAATATTTTCAGTAATGTGCGGCTTGCCTTCATTGTTGTGATTTGTCGGCTTAATGAGTCACGCAACGTGACATGATCACAGATGTGCCGACCATCCTAATGGGTGTTGGACTAGCCTTCCGCAATCATTCTTCTTCAAGCCACTACCTGGCACTAAACCCAATGAAAAACATATCATTTATCACTTAGGGCTCCAAAGTATTGCCAGCTGCATGGAGCAAGATCAACGATCTACCATGCATGATTTGTGAGCTCTGAGAGGCCCTGGCAGCGTTGAAGAGGAAAGAAATAAAGGGTGGGGAGATTGGGTACATCATGGATGGTTTTGTAGACAGACGGCGGAAGACAGAATTCCGTCAACCAGTTCGGAACCAGAATTTTCTGCAGACCATCGAAGTGCTCGAATACTTTGAATTGCTGGTAGAGAGTTAGCGACAAACTTGGATGTCTGTCTGGTAGATAGGGGAAAAGTTGCAGTTGAGAGACCCACTTTGGCCACCAGTTGGTTAAAGCCAGGGAAGCAACTTCACGATACTGCAGTCAGCCATTTCCGGAGATAAAATTGCCTAAGGTGGTTATAAATCTGGGAAAAATCGCTCTCAAGTGACCAGATTTTGGAATTACCTAAGACCTTAATCGATCAAAGGACTCAAGGAGAGTGGTTTAAGTACGGAATGCAATTATGATATGTTCATATGTGGACTCGAATCTAGTCTCAATCAACTTAAACATCGTCCCGGGCAAAATCTCATATATATTAAACTGTGCTGGTTCAGTCTATAAATAGTGAAACAAATTTAACATCCCATGTCAACAACTGTGACATCATCGAATGTTTGTGGATAGCGAAAGGCGTAAGGACCTCAATGTCAGCAGCAGACACATTGTCCCCCTTCTTTAAGAAACATTCGCTGTTGACTAGTCAACATTTACATAATCCCCCGTTGAAATATGGTATTGCAGTGCCTAGTGCAATCGAGTATGGGGCTGCAAGAAGCTTTCGGAATATTCCGCCACATGCCAAACAGTTTCCAAGACATGAAGACACTATACGGCGCGCAGCCGAGGGGGGAAACGACGTTGTATCTCATTGGTTATTGTCTATTAATTTCTAATAAAGTTCTATGATATTGATCATTGGTCAGAATGAACAAAGTCCGTCAACGCCTTTCAACTGTTCCTTTGTCGTCACTCTTTTTCTGGTACTTTGACCCCAGTGTCAAGCCGGAAGAACCAAGGCTTTCTTTACTAAGAATGTCTTTTACCTAGCAGAATAGTGTAGCAAATTAAAGGCATTCGGAAGCGGTAAACAAATAAATTCGCCAAGTTTTGCTGTGCAGTGTATCTTCAGTCCAAAGCCCTGATTAGATATATACAAATACGAGCTGCCCGAGTCTGGGGTTAACTTGATCCCCCTTCCCACATTCCACAAGCATCTAGGTTACTTATCATCCACTTTTACCCGATATCTAATCACAAACTACCATCGACATGGGCCGCAACGGGTACGACATCACAGGCGTCCGCAAAGCCAAGGCCAATATCATGGTTGGAGACACGACCACGCCTAATCCGAAGCCTGAGCCAGCTAACTCCTCTCAGTCTCTTCAATATCCGCAGCCAGCTAGTCCTCAGCTTGTCGAGCCCAAGCCCGAACCGACTATTGAGAAGAAACCTTAGCCGGCGCCGTCCATCATTAAGATACCGAAGCAGATTGCCTCTACGGAGGGGACGACCTGTGGTTTAAACAGACTGCAAATATGAATTTGAGAACCAGGTTATCATGAAATGATCATACAAGCTGTCCCAACAGGCCGATTCATCAAACCCTTCTAATTTTGAATCCTCCAGGCCGATTGCGAAGGTTTGAACCCATAATCATAGCCTTGACAGAAGTCCTTTCAAGATAAGAATACCCTTTCCAACGATGCCCCTTCGACATGGAAATTACGTAAAGAATGAAGAAAGGCCACCACAACTATTGTGTGTAACCCATTTTTGGTAGACTAATGTGACACGATCAGATAAAAGATCGTCCAGATTGTTTCACCAGTGGTGCGGCAGTCTATAGCCCAGATTTTCGCTCTTGACGAACTAACCCACTTGTCTGCCTCTAGAATTTTAACGGTTCATACGCCCGCCTTGCTCACCATGGTCATTGTGTAGAACAGTTGGGCATGAAGAATGTCAGTCTCAGTTCGCCGCATATTGAACACAGGGTTTGTTTGCTAGAGCCCTGTCGAAACCCCTGAAACAGTTTCCTAGAATGTCGACTAGTGTTGCTTAGCGAGAAACCCTAAAACATCTTCCTTATTCTAGAAACCCCAATTTTCCACCAACTGTTCCAGGTCGAAGTAAACTGGCCCAGACGGTACATAACGGGTATATTTCTCCACGTTATAAGTGAAAAGTGGACCCAATAATCAAATCAGTAGAATCGGCTCCACGGTTAAGGCGCAGCTGTGTACGAGAAGTTATCTGGAGCCTCCTGCTGACGGCGAACTGTGGAAGATAGCAATTGCAAGATCATATGCCACGTCGTTCAATATTTTACAAATAGAGCGGATTGAGGCTGAACCCATGCGCCGAGACTTGATTTGTTCGACAATCTCTTGATGGGGGATATGCCACGTTCCAAGAGGGATACTATCAGCTTCTTATGAGACTTTTTGTTTGGTGGTGAGAAACCCAGCAGAAACCTCCGTCAGCAGTCTGGATTCAGCTCCTGAGTAGGAAAACGTGTCCAAAATAAAGCGTATTTCCAATAGATCTAGTCCTTTATAGAACGTGAGGCGTGCTCGATCGGCGACTAGTCCGGACTATGAGTGGGCTAGTCTATAGTCCAGATACCGTAGCGTAGCTCTCTAGCTATTCCTTCGCGATAACGTATGTGTGTATTCTCATGTTATCTTACTGAAGTGGTACCCTAGGGGTATATAATAAAAGTAGAGCTTCCTCTAGAGCCTATACATATAAGCTTATAGAGTAGCGTTACCGCTACGATTAAGGGTGTTGCTCTATAATAACGATATTAGAGCGCCCTCCCTTTCATACAGCCCTATAGACTATAATAGAGATCGCCGGCTTAGTAATCCGCTTAGTTAACTATTATAGTACTGATTCGATAATCGCTTTGCCTAGCTAGCAGGCAAATTAGTAATATTTTACACCGTATATTCGTCACTAAAGATACTCTATCAATTTAGTAATAAATCGTAACCTAACACGATGACTTTACCCATGTAGACTATCTTTTAACTATACTTCTCTAACCTTTCTAAATCGATGATATTTACTCCTGTAACTAAATAACGAGATAAGTTGACTAAACTCGCCGAAGGAGGCGCTAGTAGTAAATATTATAGCTCTCAAATACTAACCGTATAGTCGACCGGCTTAGCGGAACTCTTGGCTATTTGTAACAGTAGGTACTGTGTAAGGGGAGGCCAGGCACAATCGTCAATTCCCAACGCCAGTAGTAATTAGATACAAAGAAGGAAACTTGCTCTAAGTTTCTATGGTGCCCCAAGCACTATTTGAGGGGCCCAGAAGTTTTTCTTGAAACGCCATCGGATCGCCATGATTTAGCCCGCCTATCCAGGGTGGCACGATCTTAACCTTCCAGCCCATCCTACTTAGAATTTGTGACACTATTCCTTGGCCGTACTTAATAGCGTAAACTAGCCGATTTCGACCCAGGAGGCAATTAGGGGGGCTAAATAATCTAGGTTATATAGTGGTAGTCGTGATTAGAAAGACAGATTAGCCGGCCGGGTCGGGTGCGAAAAGTAATAACTACGTTTTATCGAAGCGCTTAGTATTTCACTCAACGACTGATAGATTATATTTGGAGTGCTTCGTAACGCCCCTCATGCTTAGGCCGGACCTGCGCCACATATATTGCCGTACGTGCTCAAAAGAGTCTGCCTGGCGTCTACGGCGTTTTGTTAAGTCAAACGCGCGTAAAAGCTTTCGTAGGGGTGTCTTGCATGGTGGTTGGTGGCCGATTTAAAAGTAGGTGTATCTGATTAGGTTTTGGAGTTTGACGCGAGCGCGTCGCGAATGGTGAAGGAATCTATTCCTAGTTTAAGTTCACTTCAAGTGACTTAAATAGCCACTATTACTTCAGACAACTATTCATACACCTGATTGCCGCTGGCTGTCAGGTTGCGGCGAGGCCGAAGGCAATAGTACCACCGGGTGGTCACTGGCGGTCACTAGCGGTCTCAGGTAGGGGTGCCGAAAGTGGTTCATTGATCTCTAACCTTCCTATCTTCTTCCCAGATACCTTCCCTTACATAGATAGCTAGAGCCCGGAGTCGGAGCCGTAGAGCACTAGTTCCTCCGATTCTTCAGTATACCAAGACTTCCATATTAGGCCATGACTCGTACGTCCCCTATAACGGTACTGCGCCGTTGCACAACCGGTGCCATGCATCCAGCACTCTGACACTGGCCCAGTTGCGCCGTATTTATAAGAGACTTAGATGATGCATACTAAGTAACGATGAGAAAGCTTTTGCAGAAAACATCATGGATCATTAGCCTGAAATAGCGGCCCTACACTGATATTGCGTCATTTCCATCATTTCGGACATTAATGACACCTTCTTTTAGCCCAAACTCGGCTGCAATAAAGACTGAAGAGTATGACTTGACCATTGAACGTCCACAGCCTGTCATAACATAACACTGACACAAGGTGGATGCAGCTGGTCTATATGTCCAAAAAAAGCGATAAGATCAATAAAAGAAGAGAAAAGCGGGTTGGCTAGACGTAAGAAAAACAGAAGAACAGAACCTTTTATACCTACCCCAGTGGGTGCTTGTACCAATGCGAGTCTTCCTTCTTTCAAAGTGGCATGACATCAATTAGTAATTCGCACTAGTATTCATTGTTCATGAGGTCTAATATTTAGAATCTCAGATTTCAAATATGGCGGTGTACGTCATCACCCATGACGCTACAGTCATTCTACACGACAGAGAACGGAATAAAATAAACTGTTAAGGGAAGACCCGTGGGTATCATGAAGATGCTGTTCTGAAGTTAACATAAGTCGACGTAACAACAATATCAAGCGTAGACTGCTCGGCTTGAACCTAGAAGACCCATGTGTATTTTTGGTGCCATGATTCAAGTAGCCTGTAGTTGAGGTTAGACCATTAGCTATTTTGTACCATACATCGGTTTGAAGCAACGATTGCAGTTCTAGAACGCCGCCCAATTTTGCATTGCGATACACTGTATTTGGTGCCTTTCTTTTTCGCCTACCATGCAGTCAGGTTAGCAGGACATTAACCATCTTAGCTGTGCACAGCTTGGGATACAGAGTCATATCAGCAGTAATAATCCTTGACATGACTTACCAAATAAATCTTTTTTTCTAATAATCCTCAAAACCTGTAAGATCCTACACAACTATCATACGAACAATGAGACGTCAAGCCTCAGAGCACAAAATGTGAGCGAGGTGCAAGGAGTTTCAGGATTCTTAGGTAATAGCACTCCACTCTGAGCCGAAAGTACTTCGATATGCTCTACCGAGTAAAGTCGGCAACCCGAGCAAGTGATATCACTCAACTCACATACCAAAATAGAACAGAGATCCGTTGCTCCATGAGCTACAGTGATCCGCAATCAGCGTGCGTACGGGTCCCATTTCTTCGCCAAAGTTTACCCATCTCACTATATCTAAGAATACAGTACAAATTTAATCAATATACTATAATACTAAGAGGTGTATACTGTAATGTAACATTAGTCAAATTATAACTCTACAATGAGTCTACTATTACATGTGGAATTGGTGACCTGAGGCCAAGTGAGGTACACTTGGGATACTTTAGTGCCCTGTGCGGCTTGGACCCGCCCACCTGTACTTCCCTTCTTCACCTCCGTATGTAGCCGGAATGCCAGTGACAGTGCGATCCCACATTATATATATAAGAACTCTAATGTCATTACGCTTAGAAGCTGTAAGGCGAGTCTCAAAATAACGAGATGAATTCGCTGATTGATTAAATGAAAGAACGAGATACATACGTGTAACTCCAACTATATCAGTATACTTTAGGCCTTAGTACGGATTTTAGTTCACTTAGTATAGCACGTCAAAAAGCTTCAGAGTCTTCCCGCTAAATTCTAGAGTTAGTCCTGGGACGAACCCCTAAATCGCCTCGACTCCTAGAAAACGCACGAAGAAAACTCTTCACGATGGCTTCAAACCTTACCTAGAGCAACGATCTACCGAGCTCTCATTACCTAACCACCCGGGCAGACCGTCCACCCACGAACTGTATTTGGGGCTTAAATGGATTTGAAGAATCCACAGCAGGCCCACAACTCCAGGTCCCACGCTAACAGCCCTGCCGCGGGGTCCAGAACTTCGAGGCACGTTTTGGGCCCGGCGGTCTTCTGACAGTTGGTTTCCCTTACCCCATGTTTACGTACAGAAGGGTCAAGGAGCAAAGCGGTACCTGAAGATCCTGGGATCCGTCGCGGGTTGGGTAGGCTGGGCAAGGATGGGGAGCTGCAACTGGGAACTGTGATCCGAGCAGTGGAGCAGGGCGCGACTATTGAATGCCAGCCACTCTCGTTGTCACACAAGTTATGTGCTGGCGGTATCCTGCGGCCGGTTCCCCGTCGCATCGGGATGGAGCAGCATCGGTCCTTCGGAAGCGGGTCGGCGAGATTGAAAATTCTTCTTGTACCCGCCGAAGCAATGCGGTGAAACACCGAGACGTACGATGCCGATGGTTAATGATCCAGCGGCATAAAGTTTCGCTTGAAACCGCTCAACTTATGCTTTTGGCCATGCGGTGAACCGGTTCATCTCGTGGGGTGGCCGGCCAACGTCATTGATGCAAGGGTTCGACTCTGCATTGCGACAAATAGGTAGATAGGGTTGTCACGATAGGTAACATTCCGACGGTAGCAAATTTGTGACGGCGACCGAAAGTACTGGAATATGATATGCTACAAGCCAAAGCCAAAAACCTGACATCGACCGGGATTGAGGATTTTTCAATGTGAAAATCGCGTGTCATGTCCTTGTCATAGGGCTGTTGAAATTGGAGAAGGCGGGTATGCAGTATCCATGAAGTAACGATTGCATAACAGAAAGTGCGGCGGCTCCAGTAGGCAGGTAGTGTCATGCGCAGCGCCCGCCCCCTTTATACCGAAATTCGATTCTCGATTCTAGGAAATTGGACACTGAATGGCTGCAACCACTCTAATGAGCTCGGAGAACTGTAAATACCTTCACAACGAGGGACAATACCGTAATCGGTTGCATTGTTATCACCAAGACCAGGATGGAATCTGGGGCAATCTTAAGAAAGTGTCTTGGTAACAAAGATAGAACTTGCGATAAAACAGCACAAAAGAGCAATATGATCTTGAGGCAGGGTTTAACAGGCGGGTTTCCTTTTAGCCGTTCCATTCCTGATCGTTCTCGTGAGCTACCATTGTCGTGCATGAGGTACTGCAGTTCACCCGGGTCCGAAGACGAAGACCACAATAACGCGACATGAGCGTTTTGTCATTGACAGGCTTACTGCAGCTGCAGAGTAAGTATATGCTTCGCATTATCGGTGTCGCAAAGCTGGAGGCTTTCCTCGTTCGTCCCCCGGGTCTTGGAATACAGTTTAGACCTGAAATTTGGTAAGAAGGGGGGCTTCGTGCATTTAAAGTATACACGCGATTCGTGCGTCTGGTAGATGAACCGTGGCGATAGTGAAGTAGCGCGTGTAACCCAGCAGATGCATCTTGGCAACTATGAAGCCCAAGAGCAATGTCATTTTGCCATTTTGGCCATGTCCGCGGAGAAAGCGGACCCTGCCACCTAGTGATCATGATCGACGCCTAGGATTTAGGGCTGATAGCACTAACAGAAATCGCGGGGGGCTTGTCGAGCCCGTCATTGGACTAATGAGCAATCTACGAGCAAACCCCGATGTGCAACAGCGTGCTACGCACCCGCGATAATGCAAATTTAGCAAAGCTGGGGTAAGGAGATAATCGCAAGAGACCCGCAGATTCATTGCCTAAACGGTACGCGATTCCACGTCGCTCAACAGATACAGGTTTTAGACACGTATGGCTTAGAGGACTACCTGGGTAAGCCAACTGGGAGGTCCCCGGTAATCCTCGAAGACATACAGAAACTCAATTCTGGTCCCTTGGCCAGCCCTTTGGGAGTCTCGCCTTTTCATAGGTTGGACGGGTTCGGGTCGTCGGGTAAAGATCTGGCTAGGTAACGCCAAGCTGCATGGTTCGGTACTTGGTAGGAATTGCGAACGGTTGACTGACTCAAACTGGCCTTGTGACTGGTTCTAAAGTTTTGTTGACGTCTTGAGCAAATTCGACAATTATGTCGCTAGTTCTACCATGATACTCTATCGGTAACAGTTAACATCATGAATAAGGTGCTGGTGCAGTGAGTACTGCCAGCCAAAAGTAGATGAGATGAGATGAGCTGGCGGTGCGGTCCGGATGCTGGATGCAGTTGCCCGATCGGGAATTCAAGTCTCGTTTGCGAATGACGCCTTGTGTACCAAAACTCACGATAGTGGGCCGATGACTCCGCAGAGGTGACTGTTCCAAAATATAATGGATAGGCCCGCTTGTCGTTCGACCGCGAAACATCCACGAGCCAACTACTGTGGAGTTGCGGTAAACGACGGCGTCCCTTGACGGCTTCTCGAAAATTTGACATGTCTGCCAGGGACCAAAAGACTTCGAAGAGAAAATTTCAACTGGGGCAGCTGACTCGGTAAGCTCCACCACTCAAGCGGAAGCTATGGCCGACCACTTAAACCCGTCCGCTCAGCACATGGCCATTCTATCCGCTAGGATTTCGTGTGAAGCAATGCAAGCTGTGACCCACGATCGCATCAATTTTCTTTTTTGCTTGCAAATTTCAGGAACTTGGAAGCAGACAAGGGGTTTTTGCTCCCCTGGTGGATCGTATCACGTAACAACAGACCAACAAGTGCTCCCTAGTTGATTCCAGGTTGTCCGTCGGTCTACGATTTCCAAGCTACGGTCCGCCCTTCTAGAACATTGTGACCTGCAACAATAAGTTCACTATCATCCGATAGTTTACATTGCGCGCTGCACGCCCGCGGTTCGCCCGTAAGCGTCGGGCTCCGAAGTCAGCACTTGGCAAATACTGACCGTCTCATCAACGTGCTGGGTTATCAGAGGATTTATCGCCTGCCTGTATGGGCAAGAGCCCCAGTATGCAGTCGAGCCCGTCGAGTCTAACATGCCATTTTCTAGTTCGTTCCTATGGGCATCACCCCGGGCCGGGGCGCTTACGTAGAACTGGGTCTCATTGCCCGTCACTTACACGGCGGTCCACTGGCGCATCCAAATGCGGCTCACTCACCACGGGGCGCACGCACAGTCATCGTCAAGCCCTTCGAATATTCGGCTCTAACAAGGGACATTTCAACATGGGGTGCCCCTTTTTCAAGAAAGCGATGCTGTTGGGCCACTTGATGGTGGCCGGCGTAGCTCATTCATCTCTTACTATGCTCATGCATGAAACATCTGGCCAACACGCCGCACAATAATAGAAGCACGGTACAAGTTTAAATAGGCACACCTTGTTTCGGGTTTGACCTCGCCATCTCCAGAACCATCAGTGGTTCACCGTCATCATCTCATGGATCCTGTTCTCTTGTGTTGGAACACGGGCGTGTCCTCAAGGTGTTGGTTCGATAGAATGCAAACACCGCCAATGCAACGTAAAAGACCCCGAAACAGCTTAACCTTTCTAGATCGACACAAGGTCAAAACTTCTTGTAAAATGGCAACCAACAAACAATGAGTCGTCCCTGCAGAAGCTAGAAGTAAGTACCTTGTTACTTACTGTGGACAGCTGTAGGATGAGCAAACGTGTCGTGCAAGCTGACCGCTGGAACGTGCTCGTCACACGCGCTTTGGGGTCCGCCGACAGCTCCCAAGCTCCCTGTCGTTAGCTGTGGTGGGAGGGGCAGTTCCTGGCCCAGAGCCGTCCCATGACACATAATTACCTGATGAAAAGACTCGTCTGAAGCATGACGCGAGGTGACACAATGCTTGTGACAGAGCTTGCAATACATAATAGATTCATGGCCCGGCTCGTGTAATGGGCTTGACGGCAATTTCAATCAACAACTGCACCATACTCGGACGAACCAACTTGCCTCCAAAAATTTACTTACACACGGGCCTATCCGTTTTCAGCCATTGTCTCCCCGTTGTTACTTGCACACTACCTACCACTTATAACTGACGACCACGCCAAATTCACTTGACGGGTGCTTCGTGTCTATTTCACAACAGACCACTCCGAGCAAACAGTTTCTGGACTACTTCATAATCAGTCTGCATTCTGTGAAACCATCAAATTTTACCGAGGGCCATTGCAGCATTCCGTCCACGACCGATTGGAATCGAGCTACAAACGCGGCATTGACACAAACAACACTTCCTACCCAATATCCCAAATCCCCAGATCCAGGTCTCATTTTGTTCCCACAGAACTCGAGGGAGCAACAGAGAAACTAGCAGATTTCGCCGAAGACCAAGATCGAAGCCTTTTCCATCGACCAAGCCTTCGACCAAGCCTGCGCGGGCCGCTCAATCTACAGAATTAGGCCAACATCAGAGAACCGATCCCTACTTCCAAGGTGGCGCTCACCCCGGATCTTCCACCACCACCGGCAGACACCATCGCATTAGTACTAGTCGTCGCCGCTTCCACAGCGCACCAAATCATAATCGAGTCAGGTGCACAATATTACACTATTCGTCACCGGTGCCTTCCATTCGCCGTTATTAGGTCACAAGGGAGGTGACAGGCGAGACCGTTCCGTTCCCGGATAAAAAGGCATTCGGCTTTCAAAATGCCACACCGAGTCGCCAACTTCTTTCGCTCGTCGAATGACAGCATCACCAACAACATTAAGGCTTCTGTCCAACGCCGAAAAAGCCCCGGCGCAAGAACACGCACTACCACATCGCGAGAGGGGTCCACACGAAGTATATCGTACGCCTCGTCAATAGAGGACGACGCCGAACAGGACCACGCCCAAAGCAGATTCCACTCGACTATTTTTGCACCACCAGTCAAGATGCCGGAATCGGCCAAAGAGAAGGAGGCGGCCCACCACCACCGCCTGAGTTTTCCAGGGTTGCACCTTGGCGGCTCCAAATCTTCCAAGGATCAGACCCAACATCCCAGTGCGTCATTAGGATGGAAAATCGAGTCCCCCCCTGCAGTCATGTACGGCGACACGGAAACCAGCACCGGTGCACTGGTGTCGGGTCAGATGCAATTGGCTGTCAAGGAGGACTTTGAAGTGGAGAGTTTCGAGGCGTGGTTGTATATCCATGTCATTCAAAAACGACCATTTCAGAACCACTGCAATGACTGCGCGAACCAGAAGACCGAGTTGAAAAAATGGGCTTTCCTTGCTGAGCCAACAACACTATCAAAACGTAAGTAAGGGAACTACGGTAAATCGAAGAGCATTGCCGCTGACATTCTTACTCAGGTCTCCACGAATTCCCCTTTTCGGCCCTACTGGAGGGACATCTTCCTGCATCTGCAGACCACTCCCTCGTTGCTGTGCGGTATGACTTCATCGCCGAGGTGAAACCCAAGTCGGGTCCTACCCTCAAGCTAGTCAAGACCATTGACGTGAAACGCTCGCTGTCTGTTCCGGAGAATCCTCACCACTCTGTCCGCATCTTTCCGCCAACCAACATTGCCGCATCCGTCCATTACCCCCAAGTCATCCACCCAATCGGAAGCAACACTCTGACCCTTCGCCTCGATGGTATTGTCAAGACCAACTCCGACGTGAAGACAGTGGAATACTGGAAACTCAAGCGCCTCTCCTGGAAGCTCGAAGAGCATCTCAACATCGTTGCGCCTGCGTGCCAGAAGCACATGCCAAAAGATGCAGAGAACGGCGAGGCTCCCAAGAAGGGAGTTAAACGAACCGATGCCAGAACTGTCGGATCGGCTGATCTGAGCAGCGGTTGGAAATCCGATTACTCGCCCAGTGGCAATGTCGAGATGGAGCTGGAGTATCAGTGCAACCCCAGTTCCAAGGCTGTCTGCGACATGAAGAGCCGCGATGGCACTGAAATTACCCACCAACTGGTTGTTGAGATGGTTGTCGTGCAAGAGTACGCGCCTATCAACCAGCCGAAGAACATCACTCCCACAGGCGTCGCCAGAATCCTTAGGATGCACTTCGGAACTGTTGTGACCGAGCGCGCCGGCCTGGGTGTCAGCTGGGACAACGAGGCACCACCTATCTACCAAGACGTCCCGCCCAGTCCGCCGGCGTACTTATGTGATATCCCCTACGAGGCGGTCGAACTCGGCCCATCCAGCTCTGAGCGCAACAGCGAGGATGTCCAGTAACACGGTTGGTATTGAACAACAAATAGCATGGTGAAACCAGTAATATCACCTCGGGAGATATTTATGATTGCTGGGTCGATGGGCCTATCATTTTGATTTCGAAATTATACCCCTATAGCGTTTGGCTATTAGCGTTTGACTTATGATGGACCGGGTTTGGTCCGAACATTTGGGAGAAGGCAAAAATGGGAATAGCATTGCACTGCGAGGAGTTGAGAGGACAAGACAAAGTCTACAGCTAGCGCTGGATAACAGCTTACAGGACTAGCTCACGGGCTGAAATCAGCCAGATACCAATTTAATGCCATATTACCAGATTCGTTTACGCTTACTCCTGATATTCCAATTTCGGGATGTGATGATATGTTGGTGAACCTGCGTGATAAGTTAGCGTCATAGCCGATATCCATATAGGAGTGCCCAAGAATACATGAGTTGGGGTCCGTTTCTTTACCTTTCTCCATGTACTTTGATTCGCGAACACAGATACGCTATCACTAAAGGGAAATGATTGCTTCGGATAGTATGTACTCAATTTCACTAGAGTTCGAGTAGTTATCGTTCTCAAAAGCGTGCTTTATTGCCCACTTTGCAGTACGCTCGCTTAAACATTTGTTCTGAGCCATATAGTAAATTGAAGCCTCCATATCTTGTGGTGAGTTACTCTCTGTTCACATTGGAAGGTTGGGCTGAAGGGCAGAAGAGACTCAAACTCAAGAGAGACTTTTGAAATAGTTGATTTGCGATACGTTTCGAGCACTGAAGGTGTGGTGGGTGTGAAGGTCAACCCTCGCAGACTCACTACAACCAGGTGACTTACAGCTGGAACACCTGCCGTGGCAGTGTCAGATGGGAAGCCAATCATAACCCTTGTAGGAGCCCCGCCAAGCGTGGATGACTTAGTCGCGCTCCCTCAAACCTAAGTTGTCATCTTCTTTCCTTCGCTCCTTAGAGTAGAATCTTCGTTGATAGCACCTAATCGAGGTCTCTACCAATGCGATGCAACCCAGGTCGTGACACTAGGTGTACCGATACACCTACCTTACGTTTAAGCTCCGTATACGTTATTCTAGGATCCCGGCGGTATAAAACGACTAGATGTCTCTCGTCTCTTGCGCTTAGATTTCTAGGGGCACCTATCCGCTTTCTTGTAGCTGTAGTTTTAGTTATTCTAGCGCGTCCGGCGATATTAGTAATAGTTCAGGGCCTTGACGTGCCGAACGCGTCTGCTACCTCCTTCCGACTTATACTACTTGCCCTAGCGGCTACAATAGCGGCTCTAGCTTCTAGACTGAATTCGTAATTAGCGCCGCGATTACCGCTTATTTCCATAGCAAAAGCTCGAAAATCCATTGCAAATTGGGGTTGTAATAGCTAGTTGAAATCAATAGGCTGATATTTTTGTTGTTTTGATTACTAAATTGGGGTGTGGGGTGTCCGGAGACTTTTTCATGATTAGTGTACAATAGTGATGTAATCACACTATGCTAGAAGATATATACACATGGATGTCTAATATCAGCATCCCAAGCTTTAGCGTGTGTAACTGACTGCACATAACTCAAATTGAATTGAAATTTGTAAATGACGCAATCCAGCGAGCTCATATGTGGGCGCGCTGCACAGTAATGTTCCTTGGCACCTCATCGAGAAGCCACCCGGTTTGCCAAAAAGCGACATGTGGTCACGGTGTCGTTCGAATATCCAATAGGACTATAGTCCATGAAAATGTAAGTGCAGACAGGGTAGAGTATTCGTGGTTGATATTTGGGAGTTCTGGAACCTACCGCTTATTAAGATCAAGATATGCAACGTCTTCGTCGTACCATCCAGCAACATGGTACTCCCCGAGACGCAGAGTGCCTGGCGGCTCCGATGTAAATATTCCTCAGTGCTCATCACAGGAGTCACGGGTTCCCAAGGTCCCGCCGTCCTCATCCGCCTCAAAGGCAAACTAGCACCCTGCCTCACATCTCTCGGTCTTTCCTCATCATCATCATGCAAAAATTTCTTAATCCCCGACCTGAACCTCCCAGGCCCTCTGGATGAAGCAACTGCCGGGAATGACTACGTCTTCCACGCTGCCTTCTTTCTACCGTTTCAAATCGTCCTGCCTAAACGACATTATGCCGAGCTCATCGCCCAGCCGAGACTATGCCCTCGATCTTCTGGAGAGCGCGCGCAAGACCGGAATTACTTGGGCCTACATACGCGCCCGAAATGTATATCCAAAGCTCTGAGAGCACCATGAATTACTCGTTTGACCCGCCATTTTAGGTGTCCTGATGGCGTACTGCGCAGCCAAGATAGCTGCTTTGCGCCGATCTCTGGAGTGGATGGATGCAGCCTTTGCGGCAGAATGGAGTCTGGGATTCGAATTCATTAATCTGGTTCTTGCGTACATATACGACCGTCAGCCACTGGCTACTAGCCCTGTAGATCTATTCACAACGGGCGATATCATGATGCTGCGCGTCGCCACGAGAATAAGACCACCTACTCCGGGGAAACACAGCTACTAGCGCTAGCGGGCGGGCTTCAACTGGTCGACTTCCTGGGAATCCTTGCCGATTTATTTGAGCTTGGGAAGATCAAGACGCCCAGCTCGGGAGAAATGAAGGGTGTGAAGACCTTCGCGTTTGGCCTGTGGACTCCGTGAGAAGAAGTTAGGGAGATTGTGGCGTGCAGCTAGTCGAACGAGGTCGCCATGGGGCTGCTGCCAAATCAGGGGCACTTTTTGCCGAAGCCGAGGGTGTAAATCGACTCCAGTAAGGCCGATATGGCGTTTGGTATCAACTCTACAGGGTTGCAGGGAAAGGACTCAAATATCACAAGTCAAAGTTGTGCAATAACACCTGGCCAATGTAGCAATCACATCCAGAGCGGTCATCCGAGAGTAGTGGGAGAAAACTGCAGAAGAATATCGAAGTAACACAAGGCTGGAAACACTAGTGACAATATCGTGGTCTGGCCCATCTCGCTAATCTCTCAGCACTATAGTACCTGAGCCATAAGCAGTAGCCTCTCAACCTTCGCAACAAAACTCCATCAATTCACAAACTGAATAATCGTATTATTCAATTCAGCACATAACACCCAAACCCGTACCGTCTGCATCGCCGCCAGTCTAATACGACCCTCTTCGTCCATTGCTCGATAGTAGCCCAGACACGCCCCTCCCGCCATACGGCCGTTGGAAGGAGACAAGGTAAGCCAACCATATCAGCCCACACACAGGGGCACGACAGAGGGCTTCCATGATGGGAGATGGATGCTATGATTAAGGGCGCTCGCGATGCTGTTTTCAAGAGTGCGTAAGGCTCGAGAGGATGGTTGAAGTGTCGTAGCAGCAACCCTCAAACTACTTAGCCAACCTAGATACTGCGACAATGGTAGGATATATCATAGCTCGGTCCAAATTGGTCTCGATATTCTACCTCAAGAGCTGCAAACTAAATCATTGCATTATGCTCTTATCTGGGTTGTTACCACGTCCGTTTCCAGATATAGGGTAAGTTCTATTACGCAACAGCATATGGGATCCAAAATGTGTTACGCTCCACAGGTTGAATCCTAAGAACTCCACGCTGTAGAGCTTTGGTCAAGCATACCACAGGTGGTGGCCGGTCATGTAAATCTGAGTGACCAAATTCTATGCATGAAAGCGACCGCCAACGCTCCTTCTTTTAGTCACCATGTACTCAATAGTACAGAGGCTCCGCTTTTAGACGCTGGTAGGCTGTCTGCACGCCTTGTAGAAAGGTTCTGACAGTGGTTTTGGTTGAAAGACGCCGACGACACCAGCATGGCGACAAAAATAGCCCCCCAAAACAAACAGAGCCTCACAGTACGTACTGGTGAAACTTCCTAACCAAGTCCAGAGATAGTGTTGAGACTCTCAGTGAGGCATTTTGCTCCATACCAGGGACGCACATCACTCACCACGGTCTGAAATGTACTATAGGTTAGGTTGGGTCCCAAGGGAGGTCGATGACCATTGACTCAGGGCATGGAAGCAGAAGGTGAGGAAGTGCGATGTGGCAATCAAGGAAAATGGCCCACAGTCACCATGTTTCGATACTCCAAGGAATATAAATCATGCGAAGTGCTGATCCATGTTCATCCGTCATCCCCTTGCAATGAATACAGTGAGTCGTTGCCGTTCTGCTCCCTTCGAATCAGGTCGCGGTATAATTAGGTGAAAAGCCAGTCGATCTCGTGAGGTTGGAACTGAATGCTTCCACTGTGCTATCTCGTGTCTTGTTCTAGGACCGTGGAAAGCCGTATTGAATCATTGAGGTCGACTCACTACATCCTTGTGGCATTGCCACATTCTACCGCCGCAAACGACCAAACAGTCGGATTGGAACCCCTTGTCAAGCCGCCTGCATGTCAGGTCAGCAGAACCGTGTACTAAGATGGTTCCCGAGTCAGAGTGATGAAATGAGGCGCTTACTCGATGGCTTTTAGGCGACCGGGTTGGGTGGCGAGGAACGAGATTTCCGGCAATATTAAAGTGAGGTCGAGCTCGCGACTGAGCTGGACTACGGGTGGACTGATATTATGGGGGGATTTGCTGTGGTCGAACTTGTTTTGGGGTAAGAACATTGATATCGATGCGTGTCAGAGAACAGAATGCCATAGGCACCAGTGGGTGTCAGGACACTGAACGCAGGACACCGGCGGGCCGCCGGAGGGGTGTTTCGGACAAAAGACTCCCGAGTCATGATTACAATCTATGTGAAGCTTTGGGATGACGAGAGTCAAGATACTTGGCATCGCCGACCCTGCTGTTATGCCGGGTCCAAGCGGCGGCCTAGCTATCTATATAAGGACCATCTCGAAGTAGGATAGGGAAGGAGTTGTCAGAGTCACAAGTGTCATCTGAGGCGGGCCGGCTTCCACCAGGTAGGAAGCCGTTTGTGGCGGCTAGAGAGCCGCTTGTGGCGAATGAGAGCCGTTGAAGCCGTTTGCAACGGATAGGGAATCGCTTGGTTGCAGATAAGGAGCCGCTGTCCAAGATATTGGCCAAAGTCGGAGGAACACAGACATACGGAAGCAAACATCCAGAATCCAAGAGAGAACCTCGGCTGGCTATAAGTAAGGAGTCGAGACGAAGGAAGATAGAGAGGGCAGAGATCAATGCATCACCGTGGGCACCCCTACCTGAGACCGCCAGTGACCACCCGGTGCTACGTAGGAGGGACGCCCGTTACTCCCCATCACTCTGTACTATTGCCTTCGGCCTAGCCGTACCCTGACAATGCGGCTGAGTATAATGACAATTTGTGTGTGAGTCAATGTGAATATTCCCTGGCAATGAGACAGCTTATGTTGGGTATCAGATCGAGATTGAAAAAATAGTGGGATGGGGCTGTTCTGCATGTTTTCCACTGCTATAAAGCCAGCATACGATCTGATAAGGAAGGGCCGATGGAAGCTTGAACACAGACCGAAACAGTCGGGATTGAAGAAAGCTATATTCTGGATCTACATGAGTATTGAAACCTTCGGAGCGGCAATTACGACGACCACTAGAATTCACTGATTGCCCTAATCCACGCCAATAAGGGGAGCCAGTGACAATTTGATCTTTACAAGTACCCCTTTGATTCAATGCAAGCGCCATCTCGTCCCGTATTGTCGCCTGTCAATGCTCCAGACTCCATCGCCCGTCGCTATTGGTGGACGGTGTGATATAAAAACATCGAAACGAGTAGAGATGCATCATAGAATAATAGTTTCCGAGAGTGCCCGGTACTTAAATGACTCGCATTGCTATCTGCCTTCGTCAAGATAATGGCATCGCCCACGATTGCCTTCGTAAGTTACGTGCTCCTGCTCAGTATCCCATTCCTAGACGTCCCAAGGTAAATCCTATATGCGAGCAGTTGGCCACTCCATGTCCAGTGGCAACTATGAGGAGCCAAACGAGCCAATCCACCACCTCGTCACGGCCCAGACTCATTGCACTTTTCCAACCCAAAGTAAACCAAGGTCAGCCAGAATTCAAGCAACCAGTTACCTCCCCGTCACCATGACTTCCTTTTCACCGTTACCCAGCAAGACGTTGTGCTTCTTCTCCCAGTCGTCAATTGCCACTGTGCTCACATCCATCTCGTCCATCTATCCAGAGTCATCTTTCGTGCTATACATACGTAGTTACATGAAATGGAAGACCATGTCATTACTTGCTCGCTCAACCGGCCACGGCAAACCCGTATTTAGATTTGTACCCTCCCACTCAACGAGATACTTTATTACGCCGACCATGGTGCTCTTGCTGATGACGGACTTGACGCAGCACCAACCATTAGTACTAGCCCGGACGCCGCGAAAATTGTCGTTCGTGGGCAACTTTTTGGGCGGTTTGAGCGCACTTTTGGCAAAGGTGCTGGTAGCAGGACACGGGGTTGAGCCAGCGGCAGCGGCCGAATAAGTTGTGGCGTTTAGCAACGGCTGGGGAAGTTGCGCTTCCAGTTTCTGCGAGTGAGCGAGGGCATACTTGTAGCTCTCATAAAGGGCCACTCGGATAGATTGTCGTTGAATGTCCTTTAAGCTGTAACGCGACCTCCTGAGCGCCTTCGGTTGGGGAGAAGCTTTGGTTTTGCTGACGCAGCCAGCTTTGACAGCCAGAGCGACGTTGAGTGTTCCAGCTAATCTGGCCTTTTCTTTGGTGTGGTGGTTTATTTGTAGCAGTCGTTTGAGACGAGGCTCAAATGGAGGTAGAAGTTGGGTTTGAGGTGAGATAGAATGCCAGCAAGGCATATGTGTGCGGTTGAGGAAAGCTGATGTTGGAGGGGAAGGCTCAATAGTAGAAAGTGCACATTGCTAATGTATAGAATAATGGACCGCAAACTTTGGGGAACATGACAAAAAAAGCAGGCAAGTCTTGATATCTATCGGGAATCCTCGGCACAACAGCTGCAACGCAGAATCAGGTAATCATCACGACTATGCCCACTCAAAGCATCATCCATCTATGCCGTCGCACGGTGACACCGGAGCTCAAGAACTCCAGACCAATGTATACATACCAGACCACCTCACGAAACCCCCTTTGCTCCGTGTTGCGGTTTTCTTAACATTAACCCTTATTGACACCCAGCCTTCACTCCAAGACCCATTACTTCGTTGTCCTACCTCACCCTTGGTTGCTTCTTCGCTGCTCGACACTCAGAACGTCTCCTGGTCATCCAAACCCTCACCCTCAGCAGGAATCTCGAAGCCTTCCTCAGTAGAGTAGAGTATCGCCTGGATCTGCTTGATCAGCCCATCCTCCTGCTTCTCGATCTCGGGGTCCTCTTCGCAAGCCTGCTGGATCAACAGCTCTATGTCGCGCAGCTTGCTGAAGTAGAAATCGCGCTCTCGCTCGAGTCCCACCACGGTCTCCTTGAGAGTGTTGTTCTCCTGTATAAGTGCCGCGGAGGCAGCACCGCCTGCCTTCGGCGCCAGGCGGGGTCCACCACTGGGCGTTGTGCCTCCTCTGCGCGCAGCAGCACTAGATGTAGTGACTCGAGGACCGCCACCGCTACCAGAAGGCACGGGGTTGCCTTTTCGTCGCGCAACAGCATCGTAATCACCACCAGGGTAATACTGGTCCCAGTACTTTTTGGTCCATTGCAGAAACTCGAGGTTGTCCTGCATCTTGCACTTCACCAGGGCTTCGACGGGCACGGGCTTCTCGACATTGTGCTTGGCAAACGAGTCTGTTTTACGGGTTGAGTCAGTGTGGGTTCTCGTATGTTGTCCATGGGAAAGGCGGGGGTTAACTGACTTTGCAGCACCTTGAAGTTCTGGATGTAGGCATATTCCGTGTTGACGTTGAACTTGACCCGGGACATAGGGATATCGAGGAAGATGCTGTCAAACACCTGGCAAAGAGCCGCACTGGTCATACAACGGGATTAGCAAGCAAGCAAGCAGGGGTTTCTGGACGTTTGGTGGGGGAGGGGTACGCGTGTTCGGACGATGTTTCGATGACACATACCCAGTTCCACATTGCTCGACTTTGGTGATGTTGAGCTGGAGGAGGCTGTTAAGCCAAGTGATGAGCTCCTGTCTGTCACTGGCTGTTAGTTACCCGATCGATGGTAGCATTGTGCAGAAACGGAAGTGTGAGGTCATCAAGACTCACCGAGATTCACCCATGATTGCTTTTGTGACTATTCTTGTTGGAAGGAAAAGGACTGAGGTAACTGGCGAGCGAAAGATTTAGCACGTGAGAAGGTGTTGATAATGTGTCAGGACGCGTCTGGGTGATTTCAACAAGGCAACAGGTAAATCGGATCGGCGGGTGGGCAGTTTGGGTGGAAAAATGTCTTGCGATCGCGGGCAGCCCGTGATGCCGTCAATTTGGAGCAATCAAAAGTACCCAACCGATGGTCACCTAATCAACCGGAGTGGGCTGAGCCGACGTGGGGTTCCCTGCTAACGACAGGAGCCAGTCACGAGACTAAGAACACACGTGACTGCAGCTTGCCCATTTTACCAACAGGCGCAGCATCTCGAGTTGCAACTTGTAAGCTTGACAATGATACCGTACAAGCCCAGGCCGCATGGCCAAGGCATTGGCATTCTATTAAGTGCCCATGGACGTGCCCATGGACGTGCCCATGGACGTGTCTCTTCACCTACCTAAAGGCACGATATTCAGTCTGTCCATGAGCTGATTAACTTGTGTGCCTAATTGCTCGAGCTATTCTGATCACTGCGGTTGTACCCTCATTTCCCACCCTGCATTACACCGAAGGGAGTACGGGGAGCATACTAATGTTTGTTTTTTAAGCATTGGAAGCTTAATAAACCTAAAACCTACATACTTTCTGAGTCGGCCAAGACGCCATATGGGATGACATTATAAGTATGGTTCCCGTGTAAAGTTCGAGTTCAATGATACTCCAGAGAAAATATGAACTTTCATCTTCGAGCCCTCACATCAGTCGAATAATTTAATATATTCATCGTTCGTGGGAAGCTGCTATGGGAGATCGCAAATCGTATTTTGTCCTGCAGTTGTCACAAAACACTCCGGCCAACTACAACAAACCGGAAGGCCGCTAGCGCTTATAGCTGTATTTGCTACCTATCTTGGCTATTAATTTTACCTTCAATTGCCTCGAGAGCCAAATGAGATCTGAGTTGTCCGAATTGCGATGTAATGCCCACGAAGCAATGTCACAAGTTTGTACATCAGAGACCGTACCAGTCTGTTCTTGATGACAGGTGAGGATACAGAATCATCAAGAAAGAACCTACCGACAAAGGCAATTAGATGCAGAGGTTGTCTCCAGACAAAGAGCGTGGAAGTTATCACTACCATTTGGTCAAATTTATTCAATCCTGGTCAATAGCATTGTAGATACCGTGATTGTACAAACGAGAATGGACTTATGGGCTTCATTTGTTAGGCAGACGGGGAAGTCATAGACTCTCAGCTGATCGCAGGTGTTACTATGTATTGCGGTCGCCTCAGGGTGTTACCCCGGGCCGTAATCGCCGGCTGCGGGTACGCCATTTTGTACCTTTGGGGCTTTTGGTTTTTTTTATCATTATGGTCTGATTAGTGGTGAGTTGGTTGAATTCTTGCTGTTTTTCTACGGCGATACTATCATGCATGCTCGCTTTTATTTCTGCTCGAATCTGGCTGAGGCAATGCCTCATCGTGCTTTTCTGTGTCTTTTTGCTTTCACCACCACGGAATCGAGAAATTGTTTCCGATGGCATACTCGCCCCGGTTGGTAGGAGATTCAATGGGATAAAGGTGGAGACCCGCCAAATTTGGTCGTTCAAAAAGTTCAAGAACGGCTCTCATTAACGTATATGGTATTGGCCACATCACTTGGACGTTATATGAATAGGTAGCACAATATAAGTGGTATTAGTCAGATGAGTAGCAACGAAAATCGAAGATAGTCACCTAGTTCTGATGGTCAACATTTCTGAGCTGTAGCGGGACTACAGAATCCAGCCTTAAGATTCATGACAGTACTATAGTCTACCGCAATTGTCACTGATGTTAGCAACGTGCTATGTGGCTTCGAGCCCCGTCATGTCTCTGGCTCTGAATCTATCATTCCACCTTTTATCATATACTGGAACTCATATTCCGTCCAAACGCATAGAAGAAACTTTGTCGAGACGGTCATGGAGATTGCAAGTCATAGGGGAGACCATCATCAGCTTAGTGTTTTACGATTGCAAAGTTCCAGTGAATCTGGTATGCTTATCTGCTATATTTCTGTGTTCGCATGATGTCATAAGTTGCCAGTTATACAGAGTCCTGGGCGCATTTGGCCATTCACAAGACAAGTTGCTGATCAGTGATCGTTAGCAGACCCGCAGCAGGGCCATGCGGTAGATAGACCAGAAAGATAGCATATTCGAGAATGATGAAAAATCCGATAATGCTGAAGTCGCTTTATAATCAAGTACTTGATACCCTGGATTATAGTGAAGTGATATCGCGGCGTTAACGGAGTTACTACTTTAGCTCCTGACTAGAATGCAAGCTTCGGCGAGCCACTGACATTACGAACCGAGCTTGCAAAGGATCCAACTAAACTCACCCTAGTGACAGAATAAATTCATGAAGTCTCGTTATTAGATGCTCAAATCTTATATATCTTATTCCAATCTCATCATTACATCTCAACCATGTCGACCATCGCCAAAACCATCGTAGCAACTGGGTGCTCATCCGGCCTCGTAAGCTCCACACCTCCATCCCACTACTTATAGCCTTCACGCCCAACTAAAACTTCCAATTCAGGGCTTTGAAGCGATAAAACAACTCCTCCAGCAAACCCAAACCCCCTACAAATTCATCCTCGGCGCTCGCGACACAGCACGCACGCAAGCCGCCTTCGCGTCCCTGCCGTACGACACCAGCAAGCACAGCCTCTCCATCCTGCCCCTCGAGCTATCCAACCTCTCAAACGTCAAATACTTCGCGCTGAAGACACTCACCAAGCTCGGCGGCGGCACCCAGGAAGGTGAATCCAAGCTCGACTACCTTTTGCTCAACGCCGCCGTGAGCAAAGCGGCGGGTACCGAGAGTCCGGGACCTAATGGAAGCAAGTGGTGCGAGGCGCTTGTTGTGAATCATCTCGGTAAGCGATCTCGACTTTTGAGTGTGAGGTGGAGTGAAAACTGCCGTGTGATATGATACACAATATTTTTGGCACAAGGGCCGGTCAGCTGATTTGCGTCGTACGAATTCCATAGCACAACATTACCTCGTCCACTTGCTCCGTGACAAGTTGACGGCTTCGCAGTCGCGCATCGTGTTTGTGTCGTCGGGCGCGATACGCAATGTGCGAGATAACGATCCCAGTAAGTAGGCTAAAGCTGCCTGCCCCCGTCCCGTATCAGCTGAGGAAAGAGATGTTCTACACTGACACAGCATGCTGCAGAGACGCTTGAAGCTGACCTCCAAGCCGGGTCTGGAGCGAGCTACTTCGTCGTATATTGTGGAAGCAAGTTCGTGCAGCTCCTGGGGGCGCACTACTGGCGTCGGCAGCTACAGGGCGTGTGCAGGGTCGTTGCGGTCTCGCCGGGCATGATCCCGAATACGGGCTTGGGTAGATACTCGGATATGCAGTTATCCATGGACATGCCGGATGCGAAGGGGGTGCCAGAGGGTATGCAACGGGAGGAAATATCTCCTTCTCTTGTGTGGGTGTATTAAGAACAGAGTAACTAACAACGTCAAATAGGCGCCCGGAGTATTCTGGAAGCAACGACGCGAGACGACTTCCCCGAAGACCCGGAACAGATCTTCTTGACAAGCTGGGGTGAGTGGTGGCCCAAAGATGTTTACGAAATGAGCCTCGATGAGAGTCTTCAGGATAAATGGTGTCCGAGCAAGGACGGGCTTGAGAAGGAGGAGGAGGTTTCGGCCTAGTGGAAAGGCCAGTTAAAATAGTTTTAGTTTGGCACATTGTGCAACATGGAGAAAACGATGAAGGCATCAACGTCCTTAAACTATTTTGCTGATTCTCACATCAAAGCAATCATTCGAATCATACACCTTTCACTGGCCGATAACCAGACACTGTCTCATTCTTTGAACCCCTTTTTCAATGCTTGCAGACAAGTCAAATTGAATCAAGACACTCCGCATATTTTGGGCCACTGATCGAAACAAGTGAGCCAGCCATTCTGGTTATCGACGAGGTCATCTACCACCCCACCCCACACTCATCAGTTCCTACTCTAGCCCATCAACAGGAGGTGCACAAATGGGGGAAAACTCACTTGTATCGACCTCAGTCCACCCACCGCCACAGTCGCACCCCATGACAGTGCCGGTCAACTTGCAATCGTGACAGCTGGCTTCAAAACCTCCACTAAATATGAGTCAGTCGGTCATAAGAAATGCTGCCACCAAACACCTAGCTCTGCTCTGCTTCCTCCCCTTTATATTCCTCCTCCGAACTTCTCCCATTCTCCTTACTCCTCTTGCCACTCCTCCCCTTCCCGTCTCACAGTATCAATCTCAACCTCAATCTCAAGCACAAAGAAAGACATGACACCCAGAACTGAATCAGCGGGAAATTTCTTCGTTCGACATACTTGAGAAGAGGACGGAGGATGTGATTATGGTTGACGTAGCACATGTTCAAGTCGAGCTCGGTGCACATCAACCACCTCAAATTGTCATAACAAAGTGCACTGAGCCTCAATGGGGCTTCGTAGGTGGTCAAATGTAGCTCCTTGCAGGTCTTGATGTAGTCTGCAGCCTCCGTCAATGAAGCCATGCCAGCTAGAAGGGTGGCAATGATGTGCATGGTGCAATCGTGCGCTCAGGGGGGTAAAGTTGTAATCTGTGGTTCATTTGCTCTGCGCTACCACAATATCCGGAGGTGATTATATAATACTGGGAAGAGCCTGAGCTGATTGATTGGAAGGGTATGTCGAGGAATATGGCCGTTCGCTGGAGCAACCAGCTGTTTCTGCATGTTCGCTGAGACGATGTCGATGATTATTATATTGCCAGATCAGAGACGAGTCGGTTCGTATGTTTGCACTGAACCGTTTGTTGCCTCGAGCAAACGAAGGTGTTCAGCCTATGTTACACGGCAGCCCGTTGTGTATCGGGATGCACAATGTCGCCAAGGCGGCGGGAAGACGGCGGGGAGGCGGCGTCGGTAGAGTACCACCAACAAGAGTGCGTTTCGGCTAGGGCTGACGCCACTGGTGGTGTGCGACCTGAACCGTATGCGATTGGAACCAAGCGCATGAAATATCATATGATCTCTTGTTGATGTCCTTCGTCGTTTGCAAAATAGTGAAGTGGTATCATTGCCCTGTCCCTGTCCTGCCTTGCATCCCATCGGCACTGACTCGACCAACTGTCTGTATCCCTTTCATTGCTCCTAACCCATACCCGCCAGAGCATCGTTTCTTCATCCGCCCAATTTCTAACCGTAATCATGTCATCGTTCCGGCCTAGAACATTGTCAGAGCACAGGCGCCCCTTTCGCACTGGGTTAACCGAGAAGGCAAGAGACCCGCTCGCCAAGAAATGCTCGCAATTGGGCGCCGTCTCGCGTGAAACAATGTGAAAGTCCAAAGGGATAAGTTGCAAGTGCAACTTGACGATGTAAGGTGAAAGTACAGAAAGAAATTGACATCTAGAAGATGAACAGTATCTTCCTGCGGGGCTTCGTGGATGCGCGGCTTCGCCCATGACTCTTGATACGTGATCCACCCGATTGAATGACGCGCTGAATCTCGGCCCAGTCATCAGTGCGCTTTTCAAAGACCTTCTCAAGGGCCGCCACGTCCGCCTTGTAGATGCGCTGCTGCTTCAGCATAAGCTTCTTGAGCAGGCCCTTCCATTCTACCAGAGCAAGTTCACGTTGCTCCGAGCTCCAGTGTGCGAGGAACGAAACCACCAGCTGTCCAGCCTCGGTGACGTTGCCGCCAAACTCTATCAGAGTCTCAACCACCCGGGGACTGACGAACTGTTCGAAGCCTGCCGGAGGCAGAAGGGTAAGTGAAAGAAGAGTTCGTTTTCCGGTTCGTTGAGGATTCTCTTTAGGTATAATGTTGTCTCGGCTGAGTAAATATCGGAGATAGTGCTGGAGACCACATTGTGCGGCAACACTGTACTTGTTGCAGCCCGGATGAAAGATGGGCTGGCTCAGAGTGTTGAGACGGAACCACTTGTCAGCAGTGTTAACAAGCTCATCGATCGCCTGGTCCAAGTCGACACATGATCCCAATTCTGCCTCTGCACGTCGGGCGTAAAGGATGCCGTCATCAATGTGGTGGTAAGAAAGACGATCAGAGCTTGAAACGTGTCGCCCAGACTTCATTAGCAGTATCGTCGACTTGAGGATAGCGAAGTTGGGATTGAACTGGGATTCTCGAGTTTGCTGCCGAAGCAACTTTTGGGTCTCCCACTTCATCAAGTAATCCTTGACGGTGCGATGGACGAATGTCACCATCGAAGTCGTGTTGACGTTCTCATCCTTAAGGTTCCGCTTCTGTACTTGGAGCAGCCCAGCGCACACAGTACCCAGCCTCGCAGCCATGTCTTCACATCGCTGCTGCATTTCTGTCTGTGAGAGAAAGTGTAGCTGCGAGGTGAGGGCCATGCTGGGGTGGTCTTCCACAGCAAAAGATAACCCGAGAAGAGACAATGGGGAGACGACGCGCCAGTCATCCTTCAAGCTTGTCGATGCAGTGACAACGAGTTGGAGCAGTCGTGAGCATTCCTCAAGATGGGTTTGGTCGACCCGAGTGACAATGTATTCATACAAGGCTTCCAATCGTTTTGGGGTGGCTTGAAATCGGGTGTGCATTTCCAGTATCCCGTCTTGGTCGCCGTGGCCACGGAGCAAGGAAGAGACGGCTAAGTTCATCCATAGGAAGACACCCTTGGCAGAGTTGACAATCTCGTCGACGAGTACTTGAAAAGTGTCAATATTGGCATTCGTGAGAGCCGCGATTCTTTCGTCCGATCGCAACTGGTCTGTGACCAACTCCTGCATCTCGGGATAGGTTAATTGTTCCAATTGTAGAGATGGCCGATCTGAAAAGGCAGTCTCGAACGCGGGCGATCGGCGACTCGAAACACAGCACTTAATGTTGGAAGTGCTCGATATGCTTCGGAAGAGATCAATTATCTCAAACTCGTCGCCCTCGTACTGATCCAAACCATCGATAAATAGGCAGGCCCGCAGCCGCACTTGGTTCTGGGAAAACAGGCTTTTGACGGCGAACTGCAATGATGGCGCCGCCCAGCTGAATTTCTGTTTCTTGTTAGTCGTCCATAAACGCGCACGGGCATGCCACTTGCCTGGGTCACAGTGCTGTAGGAGCTACGCGCATCTAGAGTGTCGCTGGAGGAGCGCAGGAGAGATGCGTAGCCCAAAGAATTGCAATATGCCGTTGACCATTCCTTCGGGAAGATGACGGGCACGAGCCGGGTCTCCTTTTGAGAAGTTCATGCAAAATCGAGCGATAAAGCCCTGATTGTGATCTCTGCTTCTCCGTACCGTTGGCCCGGAAAAAGAACTTGGCGGTAAACAGTGTCGTGTCGTTGCCGCCGCTCGTTGCCCACTTTTTCAACAGCTTGTCTGCCTTCGGGTGGGTGACAATGCTCTTCATCAAGGAGGACTTGCCCGTGGCCTCGTGTCCATTGATCCAATACACTCCATCCTGATGTTGCAGCCAAGAACAGAAATCACTCCATTGCTTTCCCATTGCGGCGTGTGGCCCGTACTCAGGACTGCGAAAGACCCAGTCAAAGGTCTTCCTATGAGTATCAACAACGTCATCGTAGCGTTGGCTGTGTGACTCGAAAGCCAAGCTATTCAGGATCTGTTCGGTGACGGCGCTTCGGCGTCTCTTTTCGTCGTGTCTCATAGACTCAACCTCCTGGTTCTTGCGAGACGAACTGAGGAAGGCATCTGCGATCACTCGGGTGGCAAATGGCCCGTCGCTGGGCAGGACTACTTCGATGCGGCTGAGGAGGAGGCTCAATGCAGACACCTGTGCTTGCACGTCTTCCACCGTTGAATTACTCGCAACAAGCAAGGCCGAGACAAGTTCCTGGTTCTCCTTGTCGAGAGAATGGAACCTGTGGGACTGTGTGATCCTCTCCAGTGTGGCTCTGGCACTGCGGGGGAAGTCAGTTGGCAGATAGGTCGAAGGATGGCGTCGTCATCGTACCTCAAACCTGGCTGCAACCTTGACTCGATTGATACTCTAACGTCCTTGAGGCGTTGGACTTGCTCGTCAATCTCCTTCTTAGACCACGCACCCACGAGGGCTACCTGCAAGCTCGTCCAACCCCGACGAGGGATATGCTGGGGGAGAAACAGCTTGCCGAGGTTTTCTCGGAGAAGCCTCGCAACAACGTGACATTCTTGACACAGCATCCGTAGTTCGGGGTTGAATGTTGACTCGGGGACGAAGCCCCGTTCAAGCTTGGTTTCAAATACAAGGCATTGCTCGATTGCCTTGGCCACGAGGTTCTGCACCTGTCGAATGGAGGCTATGATGATGTTCTGGGCTTCTAATTCGGCCTTGCGGTACAGTTCGCCGGACGAAGTCAAGAGCTTGATGCCAAGCTGAACGAACTGGAGAAGATCTCCAGCCAGTGTTATCTCGAGCAGAGGATCCATTTCGGAGATGGCCTCTCGGTGCCGATTTCCCTTGACATATGGTTTGTGGGGTTCCGGATGTGGGTACTCTGCAGCTCAGACCGAACTGGAGAAGGCAGACTCCTTGACAGATCCATGGAGGGAACAGCTAGGAGATATAGTACAGCCGAAAAGAATACCGGATACACCCTGGCCATGGTGAACCTCTTATCTTCAATCTTGATTGATCAAAAAGCCACCGTTTGGGGACAACCCATGCCAGCAGATACGAAATGAGACGAATGAGGGCCCAGCACTTGCCGCATGCAGGCGTAAAAGCAATGGTACCAGAGTCTAAGAAGAAGACATTTGAAAAAAGGGAAGCAACACGCGTGTCGTTACCAATAGGCGCAGAGACGCCATGCGACCTCGTTGGGAGTACGTTCAACTTATCCATAAAGCCAACGGAAATGTCAGGATGACCAAGATGTTGATTCTGTTCCTGCACTATCTGGGCAACACTTGACGAGTGAAGGGGACTAGCGTTGAGACGATCTGGATGTGCGGATTAGTTGGGCTGTGCTAAGGTTCTTCTTTGCTGGGGACTGAGGATAGCGGCATCAATATCAGGCCATGGGAAGGGCGCTAAAGCCGTTAGCTCCCAAGGTACAGGAAGCCATGTTGATGCTATGCTCGATAATGGCATATTTGGTAGACCGCCATCGTGCCTTGCAGCTTCGGCATCCGCGTTCTATCAGGAATACGGTCATACATAGCTTCTTCAAGGTTGAGAGCATTTGGGCTGTGTCAACTGGTCCTCCAGGAGCAACGGAGTGATGACAACTGACGTGACGATTGAGCTCAAGGTACAATGGAGGTGAGGCAGTCTAGATTTCATGTCCACAGGGATCATCGCTAAAATACTCCTGCTGGCCTTTGATTGGTCCACAGGTCCAATCTCACCAATAAACCTGGAGCAAATCAGGGCAAAATGCTGGACTGACTGTCAAGCCTCTCAATGATAGACTTGGCCATAGGGCAGAGGGGAGGGCAAGATAGCAGTGCCTGACGATAATTGGAGGATGCAGCAATCCACGTGCCCAATGGGTGACGTGGGTGTACCCAGTTTGCAAACCGTTGGTTTTCGTTGCTTCTAACAAGTACACTTGTTAAGTTGACCTACGCGACGTTTCCTGCTCAACGCTTTCTGTTTCGGTCCAGCGCTGCGCTGTTGGAAACGGGAATGCAGTGGACAATTTTTATCAAGATGGCACGACTCCTGCGGATGATTGCAGCCATCCCTGTCTTGGGGCCAATGCCTTTATTATGTGCTCTGATATAAGGTCCAGCAGGGGCTCGAAATTGCACTTTAAGCTCGGCGGAAAGATTCCTGATTGATGCAACCCCGAATCTGACTGACCATTCAAGCTGTTGCTTCACTATTTGCTCTCTCATCTGAACTTGATCACAATCCCGGTATCCAGTCAGATACGATACAAGACCAGGGGTACTTGATCTTATGTGGAGCAATAATGGTCAGCAAATAGTGAAATCGTGGGATAGCTTCCTTTTTATTGTTGCATTCCAAGTTCTTTTAGGACTTATCTCTGATCAATGCAGCTTCTCTTTGCTACGTCTTGTATGTCAGATGTTGTTCGGCGTCGTGCGATAATATTCGTACCTGAAGTCACTTGCAAGTTTTCAAGCATCCATTTACCCGCAGCACCTTGGGCACAGCTTCATTCAGGTATCCATCAACACTACATGGGTCTCCATCACTCAGTAGTTAATAATAAAACGCTACTTTCCAAATAACAGAAACCGTTTATCGTTCAATATCCTCTTCAGCCCATGCCAAGATGAATTGAATATCTTCTATATTTTAGTTGCGTTGCTCACATCCTCTTCTAGATCACCCTTGACGGCTCTGATGGCAGAAATTCTCACATGCAAGGCAGTTTGGAAATAGAATTCGCGATCTCCTCTTCCTTGGAAAGTATGGTGTTCATGCTAGTGGGTACTTAGTTAGGCCGCTAGACAACCCCTTCGAGACACTTCATGTTTTCCATTATTATCCTCACACGAATGATCTACTAAAGACTGCACCTAGCTCCCACTATAAGGCTATAATTAATCTACTTCCATTTTGTATTCAAAACATCTCAAGTGCTAGCCGTTCTCTGCTGAACAGTGTACCCGAAGGTAGTTATAGCAAGGAATAGCAATCTCTGGAACAGTCATTATATTCATAATGCCATGCACTCGAGTGGCTTCAAAATCGACTTTCAAGAAGGATTCACATAAGATAACCACTTGAAATATTCTTTCATTATTTTACATTGAGTCTAGCCCGACCAGATGTCTTGACACTCAGTTCGAGAGACGTTGGAGAATCTTCTATCCGAGCAAAATCTGTTTCAGAATTTGACATTGGCAAAGACGACCCATATGTGATGCTTGCTATAGAAATTTTGAGGCTTTCGGGCGATGTTCTGGACTATCTGCATCTCGGGCAATGATCTTTTTAGTGCGCATACTCACATACCACACATTTAAGAATGACGTACTTGACGTCCTGAAATAGACGGCATGGATAGCTTCAATCCTGGCCTTTCCAATAATGTTTCTTTGTATGAATCTTGAGAAATTGGTGTCTTCATGTCACGTGTCCTTTGTTCATGCTGGTTATGACTGGTTATCATGTATGCTGAATTCTCCCATTCTCTCACCTTGATAGTGACTGATATTACCACCGAAGGGTGAGTTACATAACATATATGTCCCTAAGCCGAATTCTGCGTTTTCCATGTGTACAGACTTATTAAGTCGAAAACACTTTTTCTTATTATAAGACCTGCCGTTCCTCTGCAAACTCTTCAATTTCCGGAAATCTGACGTGGCTAATGAGGCACCGATTCGAGGGTAACACAATTAGCAGGGCATTATGAAACAATTATACTGATCCCAGAAACTGTAATATAATGTGGCAATTGACAAGAGGCGTCACTGCGTAGTGACAGATAATTGTGATTAGTTTTACAGACTGAATATGACGAATGCCATTCATAGAGTAGCATATTGTAGCTTCATCTCATTAGGTGAATAATAGCTGGCCCAGCCACCCTAACTTGGTTCAATAGCAAGGATGCTGGAGGCAACTTGAAAGCTACTATATATACGGCTGCACCACTCCTGCAGTACATTTCTTTTCCCGTCCTATACTCAGCGCACTTCCTCACATCCAGCTCGCGGCAGGAATCAGACTATGCTCCGACGCGGACGCGGTCGCCCTGCTGGATGAAACTCGCCACTTGTTGCCTAGGCGACTGCCTTGCCCACAATTTCGTGGCTTACGCAGATAGGTCAGGACGTGGGACCCCAGCCTGAGTGCAACATCTGTAGATTGGAGCCGCAGAGGATGCAGTGTGTAATTTTGATTTCGATAAATACCTTGCTATCCCTGAGATCAAAGCTATTAAGGCCTCTAATCGATACAATATGGATGAGACAGGTATTCTAGAAGGTAGAGGATCAAATAGTCTTGTTCTAGGATCATCTGAGACTCGTTCCATACGGAAGAAACAGCCTGGATCTCGAGCTTGGACATCTCTTATAGAGTGTATCTCTGCGACTGGTACTGTACTACCCCCACTTGTGATATACAAGGGGAAGTCTGTCCAGCAGCAGTGGTTTCCTCTAGACTTGACTCCATACGAAGCCTGGAGGTTTACAGCAACAGAGAATAGGTGGACGTCAGACTCTACGGCTATTGAGTAGCTACAAAAGATCTTTATTCCTTTAACTCAACCAGAGGACCCTGAAGAGACTAGGTTACTTATCCTAGATGGGCATAGTAGCCACGAAACGACAGAGTTTATGTACCTCTGCTTCATAAACTACACTTGCTTTTCTTACCGCCACAAACATCCCACGTTCTCCAGCCTCTCGATCAGTCAGTCTTTGGACCCCTCAAGGCAGCCTATAAGAAGGAGCTTGGTTACCTTGACTAATAGGATACTACTACTGTCGTAGGGAAGAGAAACTTTCTCCTCTACTATAGAAAGGCACGTCTAGCAGCATTGACCGTCAAGAACATTATCAGTGGATGGAAATATACTGGTCTCTAGCCTTCGAGCATAGCTAGACCCCTTATGAGCCCCCTGCTCCTTAAGAATACGTCAGCACCAATCAAACAGCCTAGTTAGACTCGCAAAGGGCACTCTAGTAGTCAGGACTAGGCGTTAGATACATCGGCAGTAGCCTAGTCAACGCCTAAGAGGAGAGATAAGCTCCAAGATCAACTCAGCTTATTCAGCAAGCTTGATAGTGATCCAAATACCCAGCGGCTACTCTTTCGGAAAGTTCAAAAGGGCTTTGATTAGAAGGACTACCAGTTAGCTGTCTCACAGCGAAAGATTAAGGCAACAGAGGCAGAGCTTGAGGCTAGTAGGGCTAGGAAGCGGAGGAAGGTCAAGATGAGCCCAAATTCGAAGTTTACTAATATCAAGGCTATTCGGAGGGCTCAAATCGAGGCTAGTGAAATTGAGGATAGTACAGATGAGTCTAGCGAGTCTGAAAACCCTAGTGACGGTGAAAGCTGTATTGTAGTCGCATCAGAATAAGTATTAAAAAAGGTTGAAGTTAATGGTTATAATATAACAGAGGACTAGTGGCACACAGTCCACTGGCGGAGCCCTAGTTACTCCGTAACAATGTACACTAGTTAGATAGGTAACATTCTACCGTTACACCTGACGGAGGTTAACTTAGCTCAATCAACATCACAATCCTCCATGATAATATACAGCGTCATTTTTAGGGCGTCCCACATGTGGGGGTGTCCCGGATGCGGGTGTGGGACGTTACTTATTCGTTGGCTCTTACTGAAGTTATCCTTCGTAATTATCTCCTCGCATCTTCGCTCACGAGGATATAGCTAGTCCTAATAGATAGTCGCTTAGTATAATACTTCTTAGCGGTTACTAGGTAGTAAGTATCCTATGGAGTAGTATCCTATGGAAACCTTCCTTAAGCTTACGTTAGAGGTACTTCTGGAATTCGACGTAGAAGCATAGAGTGTATTCGTCCTTATTTCTTTACATTCCTTCAGTATTTAAGGAGATAAAGTTGGTAGGAAAGTCTGCAGAGTATTATTCCTTGCGTTCCGCTCAGCGGGATCAGTCGTCGGACTGGGCAGTCTTTGATTCTATGGTCAAGTTCGCCACAAAGGAAGCACTCCCTCTTTCTCTGAGGCTTATTACCGGATGATGTGCTCTGGCGACGGTGCTTCTTCTTCTTTGTCTTGCCTGCTGTAGCTGTCAGTCCTGCGTCGTCGCCCCCTGCCTTCTCCAGGGTTTTCTCCTTCGAAGGATATCCAGCTTTCGCTCGATAGATAGGGGGTCTTAGGCGTCTATAGTGTCTCGAGTAGTCGTATATATTGATAGGAGTGCCGAGAGCAGGTGGCCAAACAAGTCGGTTTTGGTCAGAGCAGTAGCAAGATCTGCCTTACCCTAGAAAGTAATATATCGAAGCTCATTTAACTTCACCCAGGTGTCGTCAATTATCGTATCGAGTGCTATCTTAAAGAGGACGACTTAGGTGAGGTTATGTCGTGTTACCTATCGCGTCTTAGACTTTTATTTGTTTCTAGGTCTCGTCCAGGCGTCGTACGACGTCTAGCACTCCCGTACTAGCTCTCTGTCGAATCCTAAGATGCATATCTTGATCAGATATAAGGTAGTCGCATCAGCTTTCCGATATGCCGTCTTTGCTGCCGATGTATTATCCGCTTTCTTGACGAACTCATCTCTACTCTACCGGATCGTGCAGTCGACTTCTTTCTCTTAGAAATGCAGGTCCAACAGATCGAACCATTCTTCCTGGTTGTTGGAAGTGAGAAAAGGTACTGGTAGCTTTCAAGCGAGAGGATCTTGGTCGGTTGTAGCCATAACGAGTAACTGTTAACGCACTTTTTAGTCTTGGGGGTCGTTCTTATCGTATATGTCGATAGAGGAGGGCGCCTCACACCAAGGGCTTTATCGACAAAGATAATACTGCAATATGCGCAGTAAATAGGTGTCTATAGTCTCCAATCAAATGCACACAGCGTCCTTAAAGTGTATCGCCTTATCGTCGTAACAGAACGCGTATGTACGCAGCCGCTTGCGCCATTCTAGTCCGGTGACTCTTGCGTTCTCTCACTCCTAGCTAGACGTCGCTGTGACGCTGGAACGATAGGTCCGTAGCGATAATAATTGAAATGTAAGCTATCAAACTACCCAGGCTTATAATCTATTGGAATCTGAGGCAGTATAGGCAGTGTGTAAGTGATACCGTGCTAGTTAAGGCACCAAGGTTTAATTGACTAGAAACCATCACTATTGATATGTGAGTATATTTCTAAGAAGAAGTCTTTACTTCACGACTGCGTTGGGCCTTCCATCTTAACCACAGCAACAACCTCCCACTGGAGCAGCCACCTATGGAAGTCACCACCGTGTATTCCAACGGTCTCCACTATTATCAACGGATGATCACTAGTGGTCTCAGGTAGGGGTGCTCAGAATAGTTCATTGATCTCTAACCTTCCTTCTATCCTCCTCCAAGATAACCCCTCTTACATAGATAGCCAGAGCCCGTATATCGGAGCAGCAGAGCCCGTATATCGGAGCAGCAGAGCCCGTATTCGGAGCAACAGAGCCTCAGTTCGTCCGGTTCTTCGATATTCCAAGCCTTCTGTGATATGCTATGACTCACAGGCCCCTATGCCGATGCCCCACCGGCACCCCACCGGTGTCTTGCACTTGGCACTCTGACATTATATTACCGATTATTCGAATCGATTCTAATCCCACTACTTAGCGTTCCGTGTTTGATACGTAACCCCATGGGGGGTTACCCTATAGCTATAGATAAGATAGATAAGAGCTATAAAAGAGCTCTGCCAGGCCAGAATAGCTGACCTGGCCATCCTTTCCCAATACAACAATTCACACCCCATATGCACTCGCATCAGTGTTGATCCTCCTTGAACCACTACTTCTTCGTTTTCTAAAACCTAGTTCTTCTAACATACTATTTGTATCTTCGATACAGCTCTACGAATCTTCTACACTAGATTAATATTGTCTCTTCAAGAGGTGGATAAAAATACTATTTAAGCGTACGAAGCTAGTTATCCCGCTAGCGGAGAGAGAACGTCTTTAGGCTTCTTTCGATCTCTATTAGAGTTAGCTACTACTTAGCTCTACTTTTCACCGTTCTTGTTTAGTTCGAAATGTCGTGTGCTCCTTAGATTATTAAATTCGCGCGCGTGTCGCCGTTTGATCGCTTTTAGTAATGTCGATGGTCGTAGACGTATCTCGAGGCAAAGTAATGTACCTAGAGGATAGAGTTCATTGAGATCAGCTACGGCAAGAAAGCGCTGAGGATTTTCCAGTATATTGCAAATGCATGCATCTTTGCAGATGAAAGCCTCGTTGTATTGAGTGCTGCTTGCCGTCCCCCCACGGACGTAAATATCCCTTCCTAGACTCCCCGGGAGTATTGGAGAGAACTCTACATGCCTAACTGTGATATCTGCTAAGACACTGTGGTATCCCGAGAGATGACGTGACACATGGTTGGTGTAATAGGTCTACGGATAAGGAAAATGGCTACTTATCAGCGGTTGTTTGATCTCGCATCTAAGGCAAATATATCCCCTTGTCTGAGGATGTGATTGAGTATGCTGTTGGCACTATATAACTGGCTGCGATTGTGTGTTTTATCTGATTGCCTGCTGGGCAGGATCGTAGAGTTACGTGCCTTTTCGAAATAACACTCGCAGTTTGGAGAATCGGGATGCATGCTGGGGTTCGCGTTTTCAAGGTTGTAAAGTTGCTTCCGCATCATACCAATTGAATCCAACATCTGACAGATACGACTGAATACACGTATGAGGATGCCGAGTTGTCACTCATTCGCATGCCCCTTTTCTCGGGGTGTGTTTGGCATTGTCAAAGGAAGGTTTGGTTGTCGTAACACCAGACCAAAGGCTGCAGTGTTTTAGTGGCTGCGACGGCCGAGTTCCACTGAAGCTTGGGCCACACCCCCTACAGACCCGCTAGAAACTGCCTTTCAGCTTTATGCGCTCGTGAGCTCGGGTCACTGCTATCATGTCATATGAGCATCGTCCGGTCTTCGCCAGCATCCCAAAGTCCACACATGCTTCTATCATTTCCCTCACAGCAACAGCTACTTACCTTCATGCCCAGCTGCTATAGCTCAAGTAGCCATCACGATAACGCCTTTTGCACATTCCTACATCAACAAAACACGTGAAAATCCAATCAGACCGACCTTTCCTATCTGTAAAATGGCGCCGCCTGCCGAAATCACAATACCAACCACATCACTGCACACACCAGCGGACAACTCCAAACCCTACACACTCTACAACATCACCCTCCGCCTACCACTCCGAACGTTTGTCGTCCAGAAACGCTACTCCGACTTTGCGACCCTACAACAGTCACTCCAATCACTCGTTGGTACCCCGCCCCCCGCCCCCCTGCCTGGCAAGTCCTGGTTCAAGTCGACCATCTCCTCCCCGAGCTTACTGAAGACCGCCGCCGCGGCCTCGAGTCGTACCTGCGCGCAATCGCAGAGTCACCAGACCGCAGGTGGCGCGAAACGCCTGCATGGCGGCAATTCATGAACCTGCCTGGCATTAACAGCGCCAGCAATTCTGCCGCAAGTGTCCGTGCTGGCGCCGGATTCGGCATTCCCAATAAAGATGCGGCGAATGTGGCAGCCGCGCAGGACCCGGGCACATGGATTGATCTGCACAGGGAGTTGAAGAGCGAGCTGCAGGAGTCACGACGATGCTTAGCCAGACGAGATGGCGCGATGGACAATGCGACGGCTTTGGAAGCCGGAGCGGCAGCCAAGCGGGCGCTTGTCAAAGCTGGGGGCTTGCTGACTGCGTTGACCAATGGGCTGCGCGTGATACAGGAAGGCAAAAGGTTGGGCGATGGCGAGATAAGGCGGCGGAAGGATTTGCTCGCTGCGGCTCGTGTGGATCGCGAGGATCTCGACAAACTGAGCAGTTCCCTGGCGGCGCGCGCCAAATCCAATTCAGCCAACGGCATGCCTTCAGCGAGCGACAAGGTGGCCTTGATAGGGCATGGGCCCAGGGCTGGCGGAAGGGTACTGGGTGCGCCGCTGCCCGAGACGGAGCGCACGAGAGAGCGTGACAATCGGGGCGTGGTACAGTTGCAGCAACAGATGATGAGGGAGCAAGACGAGGATGTCGACAGCTTGACGCAGATTGTGCGGAGACAGAAGGAGATGGCTATGGAGATCCACAGCGAGGTCGAGAGCCAGACTCAGGCGCTCGACAGACTTAACGAAGATGCCAGTCGGTTAGGCAGCAAGGTGGACATTGCCAAAAACCGGACCAAGCGCATCTCTTGACTGGTAGCTCCGCTGGAGTTAGCTGCGCGGGGACTTATCTTGGGCATCGAAATCATAGTCGTGGTGCTACGACTTGAGGAAGGGCTTCTGGAGTGGATCACATGGTTTGTACAAGCTACACTGATGTTGCGGAGGGTGAAGAGGACTGCAGCTGCTTCAACGGAGTTGAGCACACATTATACCGGGGATTGATAGGATACGTGTAAGAACAAGCCGTACAGTTTGGATGAAATTGCATGGCTACATCACAGCTGACTCATATACGAAGGATGACGCCAATTTAATACGACAAATACCCATATTGATTCGCGGTTGCTATCCCAACTGCTCCCATGTATCTTGAAATATGATTACTGGCCAAGTACTACGAAGAGCCCATGATTATTTCCGATGCCCTCTCGGCTACTGCATACAGTGTGGAGGTCAAATGCCCACTTATCTGCAATGGGATAACTGATGCGTCGACAACTCGAACATTCTTGGTACCGTATACTTTCAGCTTCGAATCGACAACTCCTCCTAGCTCTCGCAACATCATAGAGGCTGTGCCCAGTGCGTGGTGGTTTGGTGAAACTACAAGGTCAGCCCCTTATTCTATTCCAGCGAAGACCTCCTACTTACTCTGGCCGACGAGAAAGTCTTTCCATTGCGAGTCGGTCGCGTTCCGGGGTAAGGCTTCCTCTCCTGGGAGCACATTGCCAGTGATGCGCTCGCTGATGGGCTCCTGGTTAAACAGACTCTGCGCGACCCTTCCCGTGCCCGTCGCCATGGCGAGGTCAAAGTCGAGAAGAAGGTAGTTGGGATCGATGACGGGATCGTCAATCGCATCGGTAGACTTCAGATGCACGCTACCTCTTGAAAATGGGAGTAACGGCCAGAAGACCCCAACATAGTGTCCCGCCGAAAGGGTCGTGAGGATCTCGCCAATTGTCACGTTCTTGTTGAAAATCAGGTCGTGTTGGATGTTGAATACTTTCTCCAGTGCCTCCGCGCTGATGATGCCGTCGTTGGCGGCGAATACCTCAGCTGCCCAGGAAGCTAGGCTCGCTTTGGTGGACTTGGCGATGGCGGCTGTTTCGTTGCCAAACATGTCGTACCCGTTGATGAAGGTCGCGAAGGGGGCGATGCCGGATGTACTACCGGTGTCGCCGCTGTAGCTCAGGAACGCTAGGGGTTGGTCTTGTAAGTTTTCACCGACGCCTGGGAGGTCGATGACGGTTTCGATGCCGTATTTGGCGAGAAGCCTGTAACCACCCCGTCAGTCTTTCTGCTGCGGGAGTTAGCGCAAAGGGGGGAATACCTTTGCGATCCTACTCCGGAGAGTTCAAGGATGAGAGGTGTCCGTACTGCACCGGCAGATAAGATGACCTCCCTTTTAGCTACAGCCGACACAACTTCTCCATCCTGAGTCAGATATTCGACCCCCTGGGCCACAACATCGCGGCATTTCTTGGTCGATTCTTTCCAAATGACCCTCTTCACCGCCCCCTTAATGATTTTCAAGTTCGGCCGTTCTTCAAATGGATAATAAAACGCCCTCGCCGCATCCTCCCTCACATCCGCATCCCGATCTACCGTCATCGGCCAGACGCTAAACCCACGTACATCACCCCCATTCATGTCCGGATTCAGCGGATACCCCAAACTCTCCCAGCTCTGCCGCGCCGTCTCATGAAATGACCCGTTCATCAACTCATACGGAAATCCCGTCTTCAACAACCCATCCCGGCCATGGAACTCCGACACATACGACGCCCCCACCGCGACTTGCTCCTCCGTCGGCGGAGTCAAGTCTTCGACCTTCTTGTAATAAGGCCACAAATTCTCCCAATTCCACCCCTCACTCCCCAGCGCCTCCCATACATCGATCTCCGGCTTATCCCCGCGGATGTACGTCATACCATTGATAGTACTAGTCCCGCCAATGGCCTTGCCGGCGTGGTACATCATCTCCCTCCCACCGGCGCCGGGCTGCGCGGGAATGTCGTACTGCCAGTCGATGGAGGTATTGAAGGCTGCCAGATAATCCAGGGGGGAGGTCACGTTGGGGTTGTTGCGGACGTTTTCGCCGGTCTCGATGATGGCTACTATGGTGGAGGGATCAGTGGATAGGTGGTTGGCGATGACGAGGCCGCTGGTTCCAGCACCAGCTATGATGTAGTCGTATGTTTCGAGCGAGCAGTTGGCCATGGTTATCCATACGGGCAAGAACACCGATTTCATGTTTGCTGTTCGGCTCTATGGTCACGCGGAAGACCGGATTTACTAGAATCAAGTAGAATGCAGGCACTGGAGTTTTCAAGATTGAGTTATACATATTTGAGGACTCGTTCCGGGCCGCTTGTTGCGTCTTACGTCTCGTTCGTCTGAGAGGGTGTGCACCATCTGTCGTACTGACACCGTTGTAGGGCCGAATAACTGCACATCATATACGCTTCTAGCGAATCGTCCTAGCTACACGAGGTATGGGTTCAAGCCCAGATCCTTCGCCTTGGGGTCTGCAGGGGATTTAATTGCTATATCTGGGAATGTGTGACACGGTGCAATCAGCGTTTGCGGGGTAGCTAGCTTTTTGTATTTCTCCTCTGCCAGCTTCAGCTGATTTTCTTTAGATTGGGGAATATACCCGTGTGGATAGTGATAGTCTCAGCTGGAGTTGGGCTGATTCTGGGAGACGAAGTCCACAACTATATTTATCACGTGTAGGTGTGTAATTCCCCCTAAAGGATGACAGCGAAGTTCGAAATACAGCCACGTCGAGCCACCAATAACAGTGGCGCAAATTATGATTCATAATGATTTCAATCCATCAAGTTCAAATGTAGTATTAATAGCTAGTGTCCACAACAAAATCAATGGTATCCAAAAGATTCAATTGAGCGTACTCGTACATACCAAACGAGTTTATCAACCGCAGTCGTAATGGCGGATACTACAAACCACGATTTCTCACATCTTCAAGATGTAATGGGAACTCTACCCATGGTCAAACGTTACATCGTGTTCTGTCTGGCCTTCACTCTTGAGGAATCAATATCCATCTCTGCAGTGGAACACGCACTTAAAGACACTCTGAAAAGACTGACAGTCGCTTTCCCCTGGCTGGCAGCACAGGTTGTCTTCGAAGGACAAGAGCAGGGCAAATCCGTTATTCCAAAGGTGATTCCGCTTGGAGACACCATCGAGCTCATTGTCAAGGATCTTCGACAAGATGCTAGCTTCCCTACCATGGCCGAGCTCGGCAAGGCAAACTTCCCCTTTACGATGTTGGACAGTGCTGTTATCGCACCCCCGATCGCCTCATCCTGGGCAACCGACGGCCCCGACAAAACAGCCCCCGTGCTCATCCTCCAAGCTAACTTCGTGCAAGGCGGCCTACTCCTCCTGTTCTCTGGCAACCACACCCAAATGGACATGACGGGCCTAGGCGGCATTATCTCTCTGTTCTCTAAAGCCTGCCGCAAGGAACCCTTCACAGGGTCCGAAGTAGCGCAGGGGAACCAATCCCGACGGAACGCCGTCCCTTTACTCGGCGATAACTACCAGCCCGGCCCCGAGCTAGACGACGTCTTCGCCAAACCCCGACCGCCTATTGATATCTCCTCTGCGCCTAGGTGGGTATACTTCAACTTCCCTGCCGCTAATCTGGGCCGGCTCAAGACGGAGGCTAGTGATCAGACTATCGTGCCGTACATCAGCACCGACGATGCCGTATGCGCTTTGGTCTGGCAGCGCATCACGCAAGCGCGGAAATCACGCCTTGGAAGCCAGACGACAACACTGTTCGGTAGGCCGTTTACGGTGCGCAAATACTTCGGTCTCGAAGGCTACCTGGGCCACATGGTCGACGTAGCTTACGGGTCCGAAACGGACGTGTGGGAGAAGCCACTGGGGGAGGTAGCCGGGCGTCTGCGGGCGGTGTTACAAAGAGACGAGCAGATTAAGCATCACTCCAGGGCGTTTGCGACCATGATTCATAGGCTGGACGATAAGAGCCAGTTGGTCAATGGGGCGTGTCTGGATTTTAATCGGGATATATGCATTTCGTCGTACGCAAACGTTAAATGCTGTGAGTGGGACTTTGGTCCGATTTTGGGGAGGCCTGAGGCGGGGAGGAGGCCTAAGATGGGGGCCTCGCTGGGTTGGGCGTATATGATGCCTAAGTCGAGGAATGGGGATCTTGCGGTGGGTATTTGTATTAGTGAGGGGGATGTGGAGAGCTTGAGGGTAGATGGGGTATTTGGGAACTATGCGGAATTTGTTGGGTGAGGATTGAGAGATTATGATCCAGGGACTAGCGCATAGGGGTACGTCAAACGTATCGCCTTTGCTGTGCTGTGGTCGGATGGATAGCACAGCATGTCCCCCTTTACAATGAACCGAGTTGCCGCGGAGAAGTCTAGAGTTCTAGCTGATGGCATGGAGGATTAAATCGGCATCATCGTAACCAGAGAGGATCAAAGTTTTAGTCTCGAATAAAGAGAGGAAATAGACAGAAATTAAATAGAAGCCTCTGGAATCAGGATCGAAGTTACCAATTGTAATTTTCTTAGGTCCATATCGTGATTTCAACTTGCCTTAAGAATCTACAACGGTTCTAATGTCATGTAAGAACCACTTTTCCTTGAACAAATACGTTACACAATCCAGCCCTATACTGACAAGATATCTTTAAATCCCTCAATCCTATAGGTACATGCATGAGCCCGTTATATTTTTTGAGGCCAGGTCATCCCTTGCCAAATTCTGCAGCAATATCCTTGTTACAGTTTTTACCAAAGAGGAAGGCATTGTAGCAAACCTCAGAAAAACATTAAACGTCGACAAGTCCCAGCACGTCTCTCGCAAGCTGCTTACCGAATCCAGCCATCAAAATTCTCAGAGCCAATATTCGAGTGCATACTCAACAAATTCATGATTTGCTCTCTCGTGGAAACCACTTCCAAACCTGGCATACTCCGTCGGCTAGCTCCCGGGTGATCATCAAGCTTGGTCGAAGCTTGTATTCCGGCTGCACCCTCACCCAATCATCAACCCCACGAGATGTGGCCGGTGGGGTTGTTGCAACGACGGGATAGATACCTCGAACCTCGATACCGGTTTGCATGCACCTCATAGCACACATGGGGCCGTAGCCCCCGCAAACCTCGTCTAAGTGCGGGCCAGATAAGTTTTATGACCTCACTCGAGCTCCCTTACTTTAGTAGTAGGTTCTGTGCATCGTTGTAAAGTCAGAAACCGACCATATCCCAGGCTCTTTCCTTGGCTAGTGTGCCTAAGTCTAAGGTCACACAAACCCAGCTACTCGTGCACCGGGTGGCTTAATCTTCCTTTATCATTATCCTACTACGCGACATTGTTATGGGTTGAGCACCATGGCTCCCCTTCGCTCCTCTGTTGTAGGGCTGCCAGTTCTAGCTGCCTGTGTGATGGCAGCGGCCAGCTATCCTGCCATTCCTGCTGACTTGACTACTCCTGTCCAACAGCGCATCGCTATAAAAGGCCCAAACTGTAGGCATTCAAAGTTCACCTCACTTAATCAACCTGACATGTTAATGTTGATTAGCAATATCTGTGGGCTGGAATACGTACCAGCAGCTGTCGAAGTCTTGTGTTCAATATGGCATCTCGAGTGGCTCCCTGAATTCTGAAACTTGCTCGACTTCATCTGTCACTTACGCCACTTCACGCACCTGGTCCAATGCAGTCACCCTCAGCGGTTTATCACCAGCAACGACGTACTACTATAAGATCGTGTCAACCAACTCCAGCATCGAGCACTTCTTCAGTCCCCGCCTGGCCGGCGATACTACTCCCTTCACCATGAACGCCGTCATCGACCTGGGCATCTACGGTGCCGATGGCTACACCATTCAAGGCGACCTAACCAAAAAGGATACGATCCCTCAGATTCAGCCGTCGCTGAACCACACCACCATCGGTCGCCTCACCACGACGGTCAACGACTACGAGCTCGTGGTGCACCCTGGTGACTTCGCCTACGCCGACGACTGGTTCGTGAAAATCAAGAACCTGTTCGTGGGCGAGGATGCCTACGAGGCTATTCTCGAACAATTCTACGATCAGCTCGCCCCCATCGCGGGCCGAAAAGCCTACATGGCCAGTCCGGGGAACCACGAGGCCGACTGCCAGGAGATTCCAAATACCGCTGGATTGTGTCCCACGGGACAAAAGAATTTCACGGATTTCATGAACCGGTTCGGCATGACGATGCCGACGGCATTTATATCGACTTCGCGCAATGATACAGCTAAAATCAACGCGAATAAGGCGCAGCAGCTGGCTAATCCGCCGTTTTGGTACTCGTTTGAATATGGTATGGTGCACGTGGTTATGATTGATACTGAGACCGACTTTACTAACGCGCCGGATGGCCCGGGGGGCTCTGCTGGCCTGGATGGCGGTCCGTTTGGGGCTCCGAACCAACAGCTGGAGTTTCTTGAGACGGATCTGGCTTCGGTAGACCGCACTGTCACACCGTGGCTTGTGCTGGGTGGTCATCGGCCTTGGTACTCGACGGGAGGGGGCAGGAATATCTGCGCCCCGTGCCAGGCGGCCTTTGAGCCGTTGCTATACAAATACGGCGTCGACTTGGCGATTTTCGGCCATGTGCACAATTCGCAGCGGTTCCAGCCTGTGTACAAGGGGGTTGCTGATCCCAAGGGATTGAATGATCCGGCGGCGCCTATGTACATTGTCGCGGGAGGGGCTGGAAATATCGAGGGGCTCAGCTCCGTTGGGACAAACGTGTCTTACAATGCGTTTGCATATGCTGATGATTTCAGTTACGCGACCGTTTCATTCCAGGATGCGAATAATCTTGAGGTCGAGTTTATTAGGTCGTTGACAGGTGAAACCTTGGATAGTTCGGTGCTGCACAAGTCGCACACTCAGCATTTTGTTAGGCAGTGAATATTAATTTTCATGGAGGAAGATGTAAAAGGGAATAATTCGAGCTTGGAATGGCGTAATCCCTTCTTAACACACTTGAATTTAGACCATGATAAAATCACGGCCTTGTTGTTATATTGAAAATATCTGTCATATAACCGAACATATCATTTCATTTGCTTATGAGATCGTAGTGATGAAGGATGATTCCCGGTTGCCTGCTTGACTCACCAGCCTCTTAGCATTGGTGGGTACAGGAAGGGCTTGACTGGTACCAGCACATTGGGAGACAAGCCGTAGCGAGATACTGAAACATGGCCTATGGTGTTCAAATCTCACCGTCAGACTGATTTTATGCTTACTTATCTTTTTCCCGTTTACTTACCTTTGTTTTGGATACGATCGTGACATAATAGAGCAGCAGTGGGAAACTCACTGGGGGACTCGAGTTGTGGATCAGGCGGAGATCAAGATTTCCTCGAACACCCAGTAACTCATTCCTCTAGATATCCCAAGACTTGTTTTCAGCCGTGTCTCCGATATCTGCATACAAAAGGGCTGTCAGTTCCAACACCATGGACTCTACCTTCTCCATCCACAGCGAGCGGAGCAGAAGGGGCTCATGTAGAACCAGCCGTATCTGACAGGAGTCGGCCGAGGGGAAACACACCCGTCAGATAGCACGTGATGGGCGGAAGAGAGAGGCTGAGGAGAAGCAGAGGTTTCTAGAAGAGCAGCAAAGCCTAGGTATGTGTCAGGCAGAGCAGTGGGTCAAGCCGCAAACGCCAAAGGAGTTCGAAATAGATGGCATCTCCAAACAGCTCCTAAAACAGTACCACTCTAATTACCGCTCCCATCTTAGTAGCGTACATAAGTTGCCTAATTAATGGATTGGAGGACCTGCGCTCAACAGAAGTCGAGAGAGTGGGTTTGTGTCAGGAACGGCTAGGCTGCAAGGCAATGTACAGGCTGTTAGTCACCGGGTGGTCACTAGTTCATTAATCTCTGACCTTACGTTCTACTCCCCCTTCCCTCCAAGACTCCTCCATTAAGTAGACAGCTAAGCCCCTGTTTCGCCTTACCGCGCTAGGATCCCTCAGTGGCACTGCAACGTACTTTAGCCAGGTAGCCTCGTTGAAGCAGGCTCTTCACTGGCCTGCTTTAGTATGTCATCACTACTTTTAGCTGTAGCGATAAGTTTGTATTAGTACTGCAATTATAGACATGGTACAGAATTCAGATACTACAAAAGCTTAATCTAATTAAAAAAAAAAATAATATTAAATACGCCGTAGGTGTTAACCCTCGGTACCTCTACAAGTACTCCCTTAAGGGGCTATAGATGATATAGCGGGCCCTTAAGCCGCGTCGGGCGGTTATACAGGTAAACTTGTAGCCAAACGACTACTAAACCTCCTGTCCCTCCCTAAGTCTGTGCTACAACCCCTGCCTGAACTACCGATAAGCGTGGTAATGTGGCACTTAAATTCGTCCTCAGGGGTGGGATGCTGCTGATGTGCAGAAGATGCTCGACTATTTTTTTGTCGCGACAAGTCGTAGTATCTGCTAATTGGGGTTCTCGTCGAGCGTATACATCTCAACCATACGCTCAAGTGGATAGACCGTAACGTGGTCTAGACGCTCGCAAGAATCGCGGCGAGGGGGCGTGCTGCGCGCCTTCTATCGTGAGGGGACGGGTTCGCCGACGAGCGTTATCGGATAGGCGAGGTCCGATAAGGGGTCGGATTAACGATTCGAATTCTGGACCGGCTGTCGAGTTATATTCCGCCGACGTAGTGCTTGACGGTCGACTGGCTAGGATGCTCGTAATCCTAAACTGCACCAATCTCCCTATTATCGCTAGGTAGGCGAAGTCAACAAGGTGGGCAGCGCGCCGTAAGGGTTGACTAAACCCCCTTGTGTGTCAGCTGCGGGATTCGAACCCGCGACTCGTCACCAACCCAAGTGGGCGAGGCTCAAATCGGGACTTATCTACCAGCGAAGTGACCAACTACACCAGCCGACAAGCGTTGGGACGTCACTGGTAGTAAGATATTATTATTAAATACGCCGTAGGCTAATCTAATTATAATTATACCTGATTCACTCTGTAGGTTTAACACAGCAGGGTACACATCCACTATAAACCCAAGGTTCACGGAAACTATCCCTTCACCAGAGCACAAGAAAGTCAAACGTCCTTTTCTCGTCTAACTACTTGAAGTTTTCAAGAAATCACCGTCAGAAAAATAGAAACTTCTTTTCTTTTCGATAACCGTTTGAAATTGGTACTACCTCGATGAGGTCTAAGCACACTAGAAAGCAATTCACTTTCGTACATAATTTTGGAAGTCAAGTGTTTACCGACGCCAGTCGAGCCTCAAACACATATAGCCCGCGTATTGGCCTCATGCCCTCTATACCACATCACCGACGCCATTGCCTAGGCCCACGAGCTGCCAGCTGCGGCGCTCTCCTCGGAGAACGATACATGCATGCCAACAGAAGTATATCTCGCGCAGGATGCAAAACTTGGTATTTTGTCAGATCGGGGCGCAGCTTCCGTCCCGCCTTATATTCCGTCGTTGGGCATCTCAAGCCACCCGGCCGAGAGGCTTAAGCTGCAGGGATGACCCAAGAGTTCGGCTGTCTGTGGCTGTAAGTAGTTTGCTTCGAGCTCAGCGTGACTGCGCGAATCCTTTAATCTGTTAGGCGCCTCCACGCCACCGGCCGTCTATGTGTCGTTACATATGTCACCTCTTTGGTAGTCATAGGGTCCAAAGGAAATATTCAGCTTGCCTGACTCGACAGTTACGGAAGGGTTGGATAGTCCAGGGTCATCTACGCTTCCGTTAAAGTGCAAGACCTTTTGGATGCCAAGTTGTTGTTATCAGTGCCTAATTGCAAACCAGTCTTGAACTGCTAGCATGTCTCGGATGATGGACCATACTGTGGAAGCACGGGGCTGGCTTGCATGAGGGGAAGTGGACCCGCAAATCTCACGGAAAATTTCATTGTGAGACTGGGTTGGGTGCACGATGGGATATTCTGCCTAGTGCGGGAATTAGTGCAGGAGATTGTCACACTTATTTTGAAATGCCGCGGAGTTTCAAGTAAATAAGAGAAATTCGAGGGCCATGCCGTTGATCAGCTGGACGATCACGGGTAGATCGTTTCCCATATTCGGCAAGCAAACATTCATATCGGGATCTCTGCACCGCCCCGAGTCGAGTCTTCCCATATATTTCTGCTGTTGCTGTTGCCAAGAGAACCCGGCACTACACAAGGGATTTAGCATGACATAACGGAGCAGAAAACATTCTTCCCCGATCCCAACCGAAAGCCACTGACATACCACCTTCACCTAGCTAACAATGCATCGGGAAATTGTACCTTCAGAAGGTGCATATGTTTCACTGCAACTGGGTCAGTATAAGCCTGGGAGAGTTGTTAATATATGCACAAAAGCGTCCAAAGTTCCGGGAAAAATAAACGTGAAACAATCCCGGAAAATGGGGGTTGCCACCCACAATGTGCTGTGCTCAAGAACTACGATTGATGCATTACTACCATGACAAAGGTAAAATAGTCGAGTAAGAATACAAAACGGCGAAGTGAAACCCTCAGGGTATGTACCAGTCGTGATGATGATGCCTAGAGCGGAAATATGGATGTCCTCTCCTGTGGTTGTGTTGAGCAAAATTGATATTTCACTATAATCAGGAAGCAAGGTTGGTGGCGTCTTACGCTTGCCGTGTTTGCAGAACTTTGCAATTTTTTTAGAACTTACGAAAAAGTTGCATTCTAGCCTACATGTAATTACCCAAAAGCAACAGGTCATATACAAATCAACAAGCCAGTCCCACCCGACAACACGCCAAGCCAGGAAAATCACAGGTTTCTCACAGGTTTCCGACCTGAGAGCGCCTTCTCATTCATGTTCTGGGTATCTTCAGGATCCATGCTGGGTAGGTCAAGGCAACAAAGATACTTGAGGTTCTGTGCTTTCCTCTCAGCATGACCTGTCGCAGCATTCTTCGTGGCGTCAAGGACGATAAGATATTCGCCATTCTCGCTAACTACTTTAAAGATGATGAAACCACTGGCCATCATAGTGGATAGCTTAACGGGCTCGTCAATAGAGAATTCTGTGGATACGTCACCTTCGGATACGTCACCGTCTTGGGGAGGCCTAAGCTTGGATCCGAACCTGCCATTGCACGGCCCCTTGGTGACGAACTTGATGGACGACTCATCGCTAAGTAGCTTCGGCAGGATCATATTTTTTTCTTTTTTTCCCGAAAAAGCTCCGACCTTCACACTGCTCGCAATATTGGCTGTGTTCAGAGGAGGATCACTCAGCTAATTTGAGGAAGCCGTTGCGATTAACAGCTAGATACATATCCACTTCGATAACAGCCAGCACGTGGATCAAACGCCCTCCGAAATAGGCTCGGCGATCGAGGTCAGAAATGGAAGACTTTTCTGAACGCAGAGCACTATCACTGCGAAGGTACTTTATGTTCAATTATTCCATGGTCAAGGGTCGGCTCAACACAACCAGTGTCCACCTGGGGCGCACCCACAACGTCCACCACCCACCACAACCAACTAAATCCCCTGATTCTGCTGTGAAGAAAATATCAAACTGGAGACCTAGTGGGTTGTGGTGGGTTGATCTGGTCGATATTTGACAGGGGCCCTATTATTAGTATATGGCACCTACTAGCTAGGCCTTACTAGCTCTATCAGACCTAAATAACGATACATGTGCTTAAAAATCCCTTATAGTTGAGTAATAGTTTTATATCTCGCCCTCCTCCTGTCGGTCTTGTAAAGTTGACCTATTTCTATAAAATAAAATTCGGCCCTCCTTCGGCTACTCCGGCACCCCCACGAAGGATATCCTATCGTGGTCGTGGGCCTAAAGCTGTAATGTTCAGAAGGGTAACAAACGGCGCTACATATATAAGGCTTTTATAATAAAGAAGAACCCTAAGCTAAATAGCTACACTACTAATAGTATTTCAAATACCAGTAAACACCTCTTCGAGGAATATCGTATTAATACGAGGAAGAAGGCATTAGATGAAACGACCTATGGCGACCCTCTAGAAAATGAGGTTAGTAAACCCAAGAAACTGAAGCCGGAAACAAGAGGCGGATCAGGCGTAAGATAATAGTATCGTATACCGGATATTGAGGTGGGGCAACGGGCCGTTCTGGTTCGAGGCATGCTGAAATACGACCCCGTAGAGCCTGCTCATTGGGGCTTGTCTTGGTCCATTATTTCGGCTGACGATATTCGTATTCTAAATTATTCCTCGTTTCATCATGCGGTCATCTAGCACGGAGAAATGTAAACCTAGCGTATGCTAAAGTACTAAAGCGAATCTCGAAAGCCGTCAATTATCATAACGAGAACGATAGATTGGGACCATTTGTACGGTCGTGTATTGTGGGAAGGAAATATAGACATGAAAATACTCAAAGCACGAATATACCCTGATAAATCATACACTTCGGTAATAACTTGAAACAGCTCACAGCTAACTGCCCAAGCACACTTTTGTTTTGCAAACGAGTGATTCAAGCCCATACCCAAAGCTCCAAGTTGAACACGAGGTTCTAGAAGAGAGTCTAGAAGGGTTTCATTTAACCCTTGGTGCAGGCAACGAAGTTATTACCGCTAGCGCCAGTGTGGGTGATCAGGGCATCAAAATTGCCACTCTTGTCGATGACGACGCGGTCGGCGCCCGGTGAACCGCCCGTGTAGGCCACGTATGACGACAGAATTGGGAACTCGTACCAAGGAGAGGCAGTGGGGAAGGAGAAGCCCTCGTAGTTGTTGTACTGGTGGGGATAACTGTTGCTTCCTGCAGAGGGTGTGTTAGTGGATATTGCGCAACATAGACGGGTTCAAGTCATCAAGTAGAGGTATTGACATACCGACTGTCGTACCAGCCTTCAGGTACTTATAGCCCTGGGCACGAGCTTCGTCTATGTCCTCCTGCCAGTAGCAGACCGAACCGCAGTGGTAGACGCAAGTCGCTCGGCTTTCAACATTTCGGTCTGCGACGTCGATCGCTCGGGCCGAGACGGTGTTCAGGGATAGAACCGAGAGCAGAAGAACCTATAAAATTGACTAGTTCAGTCCCCGCCGTCGATCGTTTTCACATGCGCTGCCAAAAAAGAACATGTCAAACCTACCTTGAAGCCAATCATGATGGACAGGTAAAAACGAGTCGCCTGAAGGCTAGTAGCGGCTTGAAGAATGAATGACTATGAGCGGGGGTTGATGGCCTACGTCAAGCTGACGGGCAACAGGTCGCGACAAGCTTCATCTTTATACGAACATAGTAACATTTTTGCTTATCGCCGTTGATCTGCTCGGCATTTTGTCTCTCGACTCGAAACACCCAATAATAATGCCACGCCCTCCAGCTCACCGAATCAATGGCCAGGAGCCGTTGGTTTCCTACGGCGGTAACTGGTTCACCCTAGGAACACGGGGTCATATTCCCGCCCATAGCGTGTCTGGCGAAATGATGACCTTCCCATTTGAAAAGACGCCTCCTCCGCGCGGTGATTGACTGGCAGCGCTGTCGCTGTTGAATTGGCCTATCCAGCTCGAGGACAGCCTCGGAATCGTTGTATGAAAAGGGCAACCGGCACAGTCTGGGGTCGCAACGGGAGCGGCACGACATGGCGTTAGGCATTGTGATTGGTGACGCAAAGATGGGGCACCCCGGCAGATCGACCACCCCATCTCGCATGTCGCAACTGCCTATATGCTGCTAGTGCCATGCTGTAAAGCGGCAGGGGCTAAAATTAACTCTATTGCGACCGTGGAGCACGGCACCCTCCGCTGGATGAACGGCATTACAAAACATCAAGTCCTGGACGTGGTGATAGAAGCGGTTGGGACTGGACCAACGGGAGATCCACTTGGGTCGTTGGGCTGCCACTTTAGGAACGAGTCTAATGAACGCCAAGAACTAGACATGGGTTGTCCTGATAACGGATGCGGACGTATCAATAGTCTGGGCGGCGTCTTTCACTTAGGCCATTGTCTATTGATTATAATACTTGAGTCGGCTGGTGTAGTTGGTCACTTCGCTGGTAGATAAGTCCCGATTTGAGCCTCGCCCACTTGGGTCGGTGACGAGTCGCGGGTTCGAATCCCGCAGCTGACACACAAGGGGGTTTAGTCAACCCTTACGGCGCGCTGCCCACCTTGTTGACTTCGCCTACCTAGCGATAATAGGGAGATTGGTGCAGTTTAGGATTACGAGCATCCTAGCCAGTCGACCGTCAAGCACTACGTCGGCGGAATATAACTCGACAGCCGGTCCAGAATTCGAATCGTTAATCCGACCCCTTATCGGACCTCGCCTTTCCGATAACGCTCGTCGGCGAACCCGTCCCCTCACGATAGAAGGCGCGCAGCACGCCCTCTCGCCGCGATTCTTGCGAGCGTCTGACCACGTTACGGTCTATCCACTTGAGCGTATGGTTGAGATGTATACGCTCGACGAGAACCCCAATTAGCAGATACTACGACTTGTCGCGACAAAAAAATAGTCGAGCATCTTCTGCACATCAGCAGCATCCCACCCCTGAGGACGAATTTAAGTGCCACATTACCACACTTATCGGTAGTTCAGGCAGGGGTTGTAGCACAGACTTAGGGAGGGACAGGAGGTTTAGTAGTCATTTGGCTACAAGTTTACCTGTATAACCGCCCGACGCGGCTTAAGGGCCCGCTATATCATCTATAGCCCCTTAAGGGAGTACTTGTAGAGGTACCGAGGGTTAACACCTACGGCGTATTTAATATTATTTTTATAATACTTGACTATCTTCAGTATCTCGTATTCATTGGCTTCTAAATGTGCACTTTTCCATGTGATGGATGTTGCCCTACTTCAGAGCAACAGGGCGAAAGGCAATTGGACGAACAGCTACTGGTGGAACAAACAACATATACAGGAAATCTATCTATTTTCACATAGGATGCGAGACTAGCTTGGGCAGGATGATGTTGGAGCAGTCTATATATAATCCTCACTCCTGACGACATGGATTCAGTAAGGAAACCAGTAATTCCTTCATTTATAACATGAAGTGAAATACTTGAGTATGATGGTAGCAGTTGCCACGGTCTAGATGGGATGTTGCTCGTTCACTAAGTACTTCCCTCGCCTCCTTGGAAATTGTACCATATCCTGGAGAATGCACGATTCTGACCAAGATTATATGTGATGTAGATACCCCTCCTTGAAGTCAGAGAGTGAGTCTTAATATCATCGCTCGGCATCACTATTGTGGACCAGTCGTCCCTCTTCCATGTCTTCGCCGCATACACCAAGTTCGTTGATTCAATAGTGGCTGCCAGAGGGAACTACTTGTGCGGATGCATCTCGTCGATCTGTGTCGGTAGTTTCTATTTGCACTTCAATGGCGAGAAGCTACGAACAAGGAGTCCATTGGCGGTGGGCGGAGAGACGAATAGTCAATAATTTGATGAAACCTAAATTATGAGTTGCTTCTACAATTATCATTAAATATATCGAAGATATATCACGACCATCATGTCGTCTCTTAGCAAACATCCCCATCAACATAATCTTTCTTCTGTCTCTTGCGTGGCCTCGTCCTTCTGGGACTCCCCGTCTCCATCGTCCCACCCCGTTCCTCGGCCTGCTTGATCTTCTTCCGTATCTTCTCTGCATGCTCCCAATCATAATTCGCCAGGTCATCAACCCTATTCATCTTCTTATTCACCGACTCAAGGCCCCAATCCTCCCCATCCCTGTCAGGAACGGCTGGGCCGCGAGGCAGTCGTACGGAGTGAAGGGGAGAAACAGTCGCTACCTCTCTTGGTTACAGGTAGGTTTGCCCAGAATAATTTATCGATCTTTGAGCTTCCCTTCTTCCCCCTTCCAAGAAATCCCCCTTATATAGGTAGCTAAAATCCATTTTCCGAACTACAATGTCCGGATTCCTCGGGTTCAACGGTATTCCAAGACTTCAATCATATTCTGTGACCCACAGGCCCACCGGCCGGCTCCCCACCGGTGCCGTGCACCCGGCGCTCTGACAATCCCTGAGTCTCTCAAAACGCGACATATCCGGGTAGAATCTGCTTCCAAATGTCGATAATATCGTCAAAGCCGATCAAGTCCCAATAGAAGTTATCCAGTCCCAAGGGGTTCTTGCCCCTACAGTAGCCGTCTAGCAGCGGGCGCAGGACTATGCGAGCACTGCTGGAGCCGGCAAGCTCGCCGTCATAGCATAACTCTTCTTTAATGTTTGCGTGGTGGTCTTCTAAAGTCTCGCATGAGTTTCTTGATGGTGCGGCGATTCAGGGGCGGACCGGGCTTCGGCTGCAGGTCTTGGATGGTGGCGTAGACGAGGTGATCAGCACATGTAAGTTGGCACGGAGTTTCCAGTTCAACGTGGAAGGAACTCAACTAACTTCTAAATGTATCATACCCCAGTGTGATTCTAGGGTCCATAACCCGAAGCTCACACCACTCTTATGGAAATAGCGTTGCGTGAAGACGAGGTATCGATGGCACTTGGCAGCAAGACGCTCATTGCCTGTTTCCTTCGGCACTCGTGACTAAAACAGTCCGTATAGTTGAATAAGTTGTCGCATGGTATCTCAGAGTTTGAATAGATCCCGCCAGGCCAATGTCGTGCCCAATGGTTCTAGTAATCTCTTACAGTTTTATCGGCCTTAAACTGGCTGAAGTTCATCTGTGTGATGTTTTCTACTCCGTATCATCTTTGGTTACTCATAAGACATATTGCCTACTTTATATGATGCTTAGCTCTGGTATTCTCCGAGTGTCTTGCGAAACAGAATGTGTAACCCTCTTTTGTTTTTTTTGCCGGGGGGGGGGGAGGGGGAGATCATGATCAAGCTTGGTCCGAGACCTTGAGATAGTAAGAGATGGTTACCTTTTAATGAGGCTCTACAGGCCATCTTCATCTGTCTGTTCATCTGCTTAACCTTGGCCCGGATTACTGCAAGTGGATGACTATCTATCTTATTACATACGGCGTCTCAGTAACCGGTGAATATGCTGGCTTTAGTCGAGATTTATTAAGTCGCAATTTCGGTTAGTACAGTATCTCAGGCCTTTGATGTGCAATCCTAGCTATTCTGAAGCACCATTGCCCTTGTTCAGCTAAATTGACTTCTCATTGCCATGTGTCGCTGTTGTTCCCGAATGCCTATGCAGGTGATCTGTTTGCGGCAACTTGGGACAGGGTTCTCATAAAGGTCGCTGTGCACAATTTCCAGTATAGATGCTGATAGGAAGTATTGTTCTGTTCTTACCTCAACTCTAAGTTCGGCAACTCTCGACTCGACTCGACTCGAGCTGTTTGCATCGTGATCGTGCGATGCTGCAACCAGCCGTGCGGTAGATAAGCCAAGACACCGCCTCCTACCAGCTAGCGAGCGTAGTGCAACTCAAAGATTCTTTCTCCACACGGACTAGTCTCACTACCCCACGTATCGTGGCCTTGTTGCCGAGCAACCACGGAACCGCAAGAGCTGTCAAATTGGCGCCCAACGGGTTTGACGGCCGCTCAATCGGCCACTGGGCTGCGCAGACTCCCGCTTGAAATAGTCCCTGTGGTGTATTATTGGGATCACCCATGCAGATCGAGGTGACTGAAGTCGCTCGATACTGTGGTGTGCTCCATAATCCTACGAGTAGAGAACCTTATTATTCGATGCTCGAGGGAAACAACAGACTTGGGTCCCCACATTGATAAGAACACCATATTCATAAAACCAGGCGCCGAGCCGGGTCTCGTTGTTCGTCCGCGATTCGCTGACAGCGCCGGTGTGATGGGTCCTGTGATGCCGGTGTGACCTGTCAAAGCGACGAAATTGAGCAATTTTCTCGGATTGGACGGGGTTTGCAGCGATTGCTGCTGCGTGCTGGACCCGTTGTTCAAGATGTGCTTGCGCCGACGACTTGTTTGGATCGCATTGGCTGCTGTCGATCGACGCGTTGCTGTTATGCTTCAGTCCGCGTCCACGGAGTTGGACTCAGTGGTGCATGAAAGCGGAGAACCAAGAACGATTGAAGTTGCATTAGGGCCGTTGAAGTACAAGTGGGTGTGTGCAAAGATTTTGCAGATGGAGAAAACGTGGCAGACCGCTTGTCACCATGTCGCCAACGTGAGGCCCTAGATAATATAGCATCTGTCAAATATTGCCTGTCCGAGTCATCACTCGAAGCTGGGCCAGCTGGGGTGAACAAGGGTCAACTGTCTTAACCCGAGGCTGTGGGAAGTCTAAATCCAACGCGAACGTATGTGCGAGACAAGAGCAAGCTAGAGCTAGATGTTCGGTTCGTCCCATGAAGGACCATCCCTTTCAGCCGTTGGAAAGGTCTCGTCTGAAAACCGAGTTCTCTGGAGCGATTGGCTGTGTGAATAGCACAATGGCCTTGTGAGCGGGAGCAGCCACGACTAGCAGCAAAAGCGGTGTGTGTGGGGCTCGCTTGCGCTTGGACGCTAACACCACAGGCTGTCGTCAGTCGGCGGTGGCTGCTCTGTGTCTCTGTGTCAATATCCCCCACTCTCCAAGTCCACAGTTCTGGAAGTAAACATAGCGACCAGCTGGAGGAATCTGCCCGCCACATCGTATAGGGAGAAAAAAATCGTTGCGCACGCGATTATTTTCCACTACGCCTCGTGTGTTGAGAAGAAGGGCGACGGTGCTCATTTATCCATCCCTAACAGCGGTTTTCTGGCCAAGCAAAGAAGCTCATCACGTCTCGGTTTCGCGTTGCCTCACGGCGTCGTTGCTGGTCAGTCACAGTGTGTTTGGCTTGTCCTTTCCACCCTGTAAGTCGGGATTTCCATAATTGCTAACCCCTGCCAAACTGGCCGTTCAGATATTGCTCGCCCTATCCAACATCACGAGATAAATTTTCTTTCCTGCTAGGTTCAATTGAGTTTCCACGTGAAATCAAAGTGAAACCCGTTGACAATTAACTGGACGCCCAGTGTCTTTCTTACGACCTTGTCGTCGCCGATGGCTACTTTCCGCTACCCTTAGACCTTCCGAACATATTGCCATTTTGGCTCCGGCATCGCCCGATTGCTTCATCGCATCCGATTTTGATCTCTTCATCTGCCTGCCAGCCCACGACAAGCTCGACTGCTAGCAGTTTGCCAAAATGAACGACACCCCACCCCCGCCTCCGCCGCATGGCGGGAGACCGAAGACGACCAATGCCAATATGCCACCGGGCAAGTACGACATCTTTATCATACCGCCGCATTCCTCAGGATCGGGCTTCCTATACCTACCGTCGCTCAAACCCAATGCCAATAGCTTCGCAGCGGGTTTTGCATCAGCGCTGGTGCTAGTGGTTGTGTGCCAGAGTATGGCTCCAGCATTTAGAACATGGTGGACCAACTTCCAAGGCATGGGCAACGCTGGCATGATGCTGCTGGTGGTCGCAGTTGGTGTAGGGGCATGGTCACTGGGAAGAACACAAGGAGACGGAGGCGGACATGGAGGCTCTGGAACTGGAGGCGGTCATTCTTACGGACCCGGTGCCGGAACGTATTATTCCAGTACTGGAGCTGCTGGGCCCGCTCCCGGTGAAGGTCCACCCCCTCCTCCTCCGCCTCACGGTACGCCTCCACCACCTCGATCGGGGCCTACGCCAGGCCCTTCGGGGGGTGAGAAGCCGCGGTCGCAGTGGCAGCAAGCCCCACCGGAGCCTGACATGCCTCGCCCATCGAAGCCACAGCCGCAACGGCAACCACCACCGCCACAGCCCGAGATGCCGAAGACGCCCAAGACGCCCAAGACATCTAGGGCGCCTAAGGCCGAGCAAGCCAAGCCCCAGACTCCCAAACCCGAACCTGTCAAGTCTGAGATTCCCAAACCCCAGACTCCCAAACCAGAACCTCCCAAGGCTGCACCTCCCAAACCCGAACCTCCCAAGGCCGCGCCTCCCAAACCAGAACCTCCCAAGGCTGCGCCTCCTAAACCCGAATCTCCCAAGGCCACGCCTCCCAAACCCGAACCTCCCAAACCCGAACCTCCCAAACCCGAACCTCCCAAACCCGAACCTCCCAAACCCGAACCTCCCCAAGCCGAACCTCCCAAGCCAGAACCTTCGAAAGCAGACGCACGAACCAATGCCTGGGAAAAGGCAAGAGAGGAAATGAGGAGGAAAGAGGAAGAGCGCAAAGCCAAGGAGGCGGAACAGAAGCGCCGGGAGGAAATAGCCAGGCGGTTGAAGGAGCTACGTGAAAAGGAGGCTTCAGAACGTGCCAAACGAGAACGAATCGCCAAGGAAAAGGCAGAAAAGGAGGCAGCGGAACAAGCCAAACGAGAACAAGCTGCTAAAGAAAAGGCAGAAAAGGAAGCCCGGGAGAAAGAACAGCTTGAGAAGGAGCAAAGAGAGAAGGAGCAGCAAGAGAAGGAGGCACGTGAGAGAGTGCAGAGAGCAGAACGACTGCGCGAAGCACGCGAACGAGATCTCCGCGAAAGGCTCGAGCGAGAAAGGGCACTCCGCGAGAAATTAGAAAGAGAGATGAAGGAGAGAGAAGCTATTCGTCTCAAGGAGGAAGCCGACAAACGTGCCAGAGAAGAGGCCGATAAACGTGCCAAGGAAGAAGCTGAGAAGCGAGCCAGAGAAGCAGCTGCAGCAGCCAGCGGCGTCAAGGAGGAGACCACTAGGAAGAGTACATATGCGTTCTCGCAAGTGGGCGAGAGGACCAACCCGTGGCCTAACGGAAAACCGTCATCTCGACCGGCCTCGCCAGCTACACCAGCCAGACCGAGCCCAACCCCGACGTCTGCTAAACGACCAACGGCCCCGACGGCGAGGACATACAATGAGACTGAGGAAGAGACCTACTCATTCCGCCCGTACGACACCCCAAAACGCCACAGTAGAAGAAGATCTGGTGAAACAGTCTTCACACAATCATCTTATGCTCCATCTCAGTCAACCGCCCGGACGTCACCACCGCCCTCGATGCGTGGGGCCTACTCGACCAAAGATCCAAACAAGATTGTCATCAAGGCTGTATACAGCTTTATGAACCAGTTCGCCAAAACTCCAGCGTCCCAGCTCATCTCAGGTGTGGGCACTGTGACAGATGGCCTAATCCTGCGTATTACAACCGAAGGTCTCTTCATTGATGACGACGTCCGCGGCGTCCCCCAACGCGAATGGGACGTTAAGGCATGGACTCTCAAGCTCATGGAGGTGTGGTGTTCCTCGCATTCCTTTGCCGAACCGTCGGCAACCAATGCCCCCAAAGTGCAAACCAAAGCGGCACGACGTGCAGATCGCGGCCAACCTAAGACGCTGACCGGCGATGACGCCGACGCGTTTTTGATCGACATGTTGCGGGCCTGCAAGAATGAGTGTCGTCTTTGTCCACACGGAGACGGCGCATCTTCGTATGCTGATGGACAGTCGGGAGAGGTGAAGCCGAGCGGCTTGCATGTCCTGCGTGCTACTATCAGAGACCAGGAGGGCAAGCGCTACCTGTTTATCCTCGGCGAGGAAGAGGGATGGAAGGTGGCTGCTGGTTTGCAGCGGTTGAGGGGGGTACTCAAGTGCGCCAGCTGGGTGTTCAGGCCATGTCGACGACCGAGTCGCGGGACACCCTCAACATGCTTGGATGGATCTGAGTGCCAAGTTGACGGGGAGAGTGTTGGTGTTTCCCATAATTGTTGGCATTTAAACAACTGGGAAGTGGCGATTTTAAAAACCAAATGGTCGAGGCATGCATTCGCATCTCTGGAATCTGGGCTGGATCATGCAGGGCGTTCATTGTAAAACACCAGCATTCCAGCAGCACACATCCATACATGCTTCTCTATGGGGCGATCATTCGTTTTTTACAGCATTGCGAAGCATAGCATTTGGCGTACTCAAGGTTCGGACTACACATTTGGTGGCGTTGTGTATTACCCATGTAGAGTTGGAGAATGGCCACCCATGGGCAACTTCAGGGTATGAGTAAATATTCATGAAACCTCTTGAGCTACTATCTATTGTCACCACCACGTGAGTTCGATGTGAAATTAGCTATCTTCTTGTGCGTTGCCATGTGACTTGCTTGTCACACAATATTCGTAGAATTGAATGACTTTCCGCCTTCACCTGTCAAAGCCATCTCTGTGCTGCTCTGAAGACATCGAATGCCTACATTCGCCAACCCGTCTCGCAACGTTGACAGCCTGAGATGATGATCCCAGCGACATTCTCCAGCTTGATGGATGCGGTCAAAGAGTAACAGCACACATGCCAAGCGCCCGCGCGAGACCATGGACTCGAGCAACGCACTCATGGTCGAGCGATCTCGAGTGGTTATTAGATTATACCATCGAGCGCTCTCCGCACCGCACAAACCACTCCTTCATTCATTGGACCTTTCTCGGACCTTTCTCGTAATCTCACGTGCTTGGTCTCATGTTGAGACTAAACTTTTCCTTCCACGACGACTGCTGCGGCTCGTTCCGATGCTGCATTACACCCCACGTATTCCACGTGCCCGAGGTGCGGCTCGTGAACTCGGTAGGCGCGACAGCAGGAGTCGGTGCCGTTTGTTTTGCCTGAGATTGAAGCTCGGGCGGTATGTCCTGGAAGTAGTACGATAACTCCTGCTCCTGCTTCGCCTTCTTGGACATGTAGATTCCTAAGCTGTCCGGCTCGGGCATCTCCGCCGGGACGGGGTTGGGCTCGCTGCGTTGCGCGGGATTGAACCGCGGATCTAAGGGTGGAGGGACGGCGGCGACTTGAATGGCGCTCTCAGCTGAGGAGGGGATGTACACGCTCGGGACGTAACGTGGCGACATCGGAGGTAGGGTTCCAGGGGGTAGATTGCCGGCTGTGCTGGATACCATGCTGGCTCTTGCTTCCAGTGGGTTAACCATATGGTGACTGTGACGGTTGAGCCAGTTGGAAACGGATTCTTTCAGCTTGGGAGCAGCAGTGGGCTCGGGTTGCAAGATCGCGTCCTCGTCATCCTCATACCCGCCATGCTTCTCGCGCATGTAGCCGCCGTCGTCCCAGACGCCATGTCCAGGGCCGCCATAGGCATCGCCGCCATTCTCTGCATCGTAAGCCGCCGCCATGAGCTCATCCATGATCCTCGTGTCCGACTTGACTGAGCCACCCGGCTGTCTTGGTCGGTAACCGGCGGGCGGTAAGTTGGATAAGTGATCTTGGTTGGCATGACTGCGGCGCCGGCGCCATTTCCATAGCAGGAATATGAGGGAGACTAATAGTCCCACACCAGCTAAAGTGTCTTGATTAGCGAGACGAAATGGGACCAAAGTTGCTCGGTCATAAAAGCGAGCACTTACCGATGGTCCCTACTGCTATCCCCGCCCCGATGGTTCCTCTTTGGTTGGAAGAAGTCACGCTCTCCCCTTGCACGGGCTGACCAATTCCATCACTTGAGTCACTGGTCGAGGTGGCAGGGGCTCCAGAAGTGGCTGTGTTTTGTACCTGCTTAGCGGGGGATTCGGTGTTTGTCGTCGTTGAGCTGGTGATCGAGGATGTGGTTTCAGTTGGGAATACCACTATCGGAGTAGTTGTTGCAGCGACGGTAGAGGTGATGAATGGCTGGGTGGAACTGGTCACTGTCGGTTGAAGTGTTGCAGATGATGGACGAGACGTAGGATTCCGGGATAGGGACGTCGTCGTGGCCGGAGACGGAGACTCTGCCTCTGTGGTAGGTTTAGGCGGTGGCAAGGGATTGCGTGTTGGCGGGGGCAACTCCGCTGTTCCAGAAGGGAAAACCCCCGAGGTTGGTGATGGCGACAATGAAGCTACAGAACTGGCGGCCGATCCAGGCGTGTCTGGCGATGACGGTGGGCTAGGCCGCTCGGCATCGGGTGGCATTGTGGCTGCAAAGGATGGCGCATTGAATTCGCGAACCACAATGCGTAGAGCATCTGCCACCTCCTGGCCTTGACGATTACCGCGCCTTTGTGATTCACGTTAACCTTTTCGTTCCTTGCCTCGGGGTAATGGGTCACATTTGAGTTCGGCGCATACCTCATGTTGGATTTTGATGCTTTTTAGTGGTGATTTATATTATCGGCTTTGCCAAACCCCAACGCGCAACTCCACCCAGAACACACCCAAGGAAATCTTTGAGAAAGCCGTCTTAAACCAAGTATATGCCACATGGAATGAAATGAAGGTATGACACAGTATATTGTATCTTCGAAAGGAAAACGGGCCCTGCCTAGAATGAAAGAAATGAAATGGAGAAGTAAAAGGGGAATAAAGCCAAAAATTCAGGTCATACCGACCCAGCTTTCCAACCAAACCGAGCCGGGACTGCCTGCAGTCTTAAAAACCTGCCCTTGGATCAGCGTCATCGCCTCGCTCTTGCTCCCAGCCAACGATGGTTGTTCCGCATGAGGCCCCAGAAGGGCGGATGGAGTTCGTTTCGTAGTGAACGCGCCCGTCTTGGCGCCCAGCCGCTAGCGCCTGTTCGAGCATGGTGCGACAGACGACCCTTTAGGCCTAGGCCAACCGAAACGGCAGCTAGAGTCAGCATTGCGGGTACGGCTGGAACCTTAGTGTACTTTCTACATCGAGACCTTAGACGGTTTCAGAAGGCCCTCCAGAGCTTCTTCTCTACTACTGTGATCCCAACGGCCAAGAGTTCGTCATGTCTTGTGCCCCGGTCGATATAGGCTTTTTTTGATGACTTCGTCAGGGGGACCTCGTCAGTGTGTCATCCCGAGTGATCGGCACAACTGCCTGCATTCAATGCGCTCACGCTTTCATCCAGTGCCAAGGTGCCACTGAGACGTGGCCTGGCTTCCGCCCACCACAGTCAATATGGCTCAAACGTACCACGATATGACCAGTCAAAACCTGATCAATATCCGGTTCTATGTCATAATTAATATAGACGCGGGCAGCTGTCGCTGATATATCTTCACGCTGTTCCCCCGTCACTGGGCATTCAGCCGGCTCGAGCATTCTCCGGGATGTGGTAGACCGGCTCCATACCGACTCCATCTGGCATGTTCCATCCAATCCCACAGAGGAAATAGCGAGCCCCGACTAGTCCCCATTGACAAGCACATTTTGTAAAAGTCATTTACAGTTCGATGTTCGAATCAGCATTTGACGCAGTGTACCGAGAAGTAACGACTGGTGCCCAGGAACCTGATTGTGTCGAAACCTCAACATAACCGCCACGACTCGTACGCCACTATACCACCCAGAGTCATGTTATGTCCCCCCGCCCACTTGCTACCCAACACTTCTTCAGTCTGATTCACCACGACAAATCAATGACTAGCAGCAACGGCGGAATTTAGCCTGGCCGTGGGAGAGATTTATCGCTATCGTACTGTACGCATGGTTGTGCTACACTATTCACAGAGGGGACCTCCGGTCATCCATCGTCCAAGTAGAAAATTCGTCCTATGCGCCAATTGCTTTGTGGCTGGGTGTGCAGCCCCAGCTCGGTGAAAAGGTTCGTCTCAATAGCCACCTGCTATGAGCATTCTGGGTTCTTGGCATGGCCAAAAAGGTGGCGCTGTTGTTACATTGGGATGGCGTCTATTCTTGGAGATGCGACGAGGCGGCTTCTCGCCCTGGGCTTTCCGCAGCCGACCAAAATAACACTTTGCCCGGGGGTAGTTATTCTCAGCCGCAATTTCAAATACGTTAGTCAGGTGGTGGGGACAACCGCCGCAGAGAGCTTTTACAATGTTCTCCCTGTCCCATCAGAGGTATATTCACATGTCGTGAGAACTGATTCCAACTGTTATGATTCAGTAATTCTGCTTCTCAACAGTTTCCGGAGGTCGTCCACTTGTTCTAATAGAGGATACTCCGTCTCTTACCGACTCAAAGCCTCGAATCCGCTTTATTTCTGGGAAGCTCAAAAGGTAATAACCAGATAATATAAGTAAGGTGGAAGTCTTTATAACGTAGTCCACAAGCGAACGGGTCACCCAACCGAACGGGTCACGCCCATAGCAAAAAATAGAACTAAACTTCCTAACTTTACTACGCAACTAATTCTCGATGGATTCTGCTCAAAAAGAATCTCAATTACTCCTTGCAACTCAGGCTATCAGAAATGACTTAACACTTAGTATCCGACGTGCTGCAACAATCTACAAAGTCTCGAATACTACTCTCTAGGCGCGTCTTCAAAAACGTCAATCACGTCGCAATATCGAAGCTAACGGTCGGAATTTAACAAAACTAGAAGAAAATACGATTATTCAAAGGATAATTGAGCTAAATTCGCAAGCATTTCCTCCCCAGCTAAGTGCTGTTGAAGATATGGCAAACCGACTGCTACGCGACTCGCATATCACAAAGGAGGACTTTCTTCCGGCATTTTGCGACGCGTTCAAGAAGAGCCTGACCGAAAGTAATATTCGTGCAGGCTTTCAAGGGGCTGGGCTTGTGCCTTTAAGCCCAGATATTGTTATTGAGAAGCTGGATGTGAAATTACAGACTCCAACGTCCTCCCGGCCCCCTACGCGGGAAACCCTTCCTTGGGCTTCTCGGACGCCAAACAACCCAACCGAGGCTACTTCGCAATCCGAATTTATTAAATCTCGAATTGCATAAAAATAGCTCCCCGACGTCAATTTACGATGCTATCGATCAGTTTTCGAAAGGAGCGCGGAGTATTATGCATAAGATGGCTTTACTCCAAGCTGAGGTCGCGGAACTTCGAGAGGCAAATGCTCTAATTAGCAAGCGGCGCAGGGCCAAAAAAACACGAGTACGGCTTGGAGGATCACTTAATTCACAAGACGTACAAGATCTTCAAGATCAAAAGGACGTTGCGCAGCAAGTACAGCAGGAAATGCGTGGAAATAGCGCTGGATCAAATCGTGGCCAGCCACGGCAACGGCGCTGTGGCGTATGCGGGAAGACCGGGCATAATGCGCGAACCTGTCAGGTAGAGATATAATCATCTGGGCAAGAGTATTCTGAGTAGTTTCAATTGATTTACGGCGTTGTGGTTGCGAAATCGTGTTGAATTCCATGTTTTGCTAGTTGGCGTGACCCGTTCGGTTGGGTGACCCGTTCACTTGTGGACTACGTTAGATGCAGATAGGAATAATTAAATATCTGCGCGTTTATATTTATTTAGATCTATCAGTAGCTCTAGGGTTATCATGGTGCTGCACAGACATCCGGGCTACAATCCAGGCCGTTTCTGTGCTGAACCTAGCACGGATCGTATACATTCACTCAAAGCTATCAGCTAGCTTCAATTGATCAATCATCTCAAAATGCGCTACCCGAAGTAATCGAAATCTCACAAGATCAAAATCCTTATCCAACGTACAGAGAAGTCTATTTTGTCCTCCTGACTGGAACAAAAAATAATAATGCTGAAAACTCACAATCTTGTCTAGGAACTTCTTGAAACTTTGACGGTGTTTTGTGGGTGTTCTATAAACCAGTCCTATTAGGAAGGTTGTCCGACTCTTCGAAGTACTTCGCATTTTATTCAATTGATATGGTTGTAACTAGTGTGAATCGATTCTGTAAGATGGATTTGGAGTAAACGATATTAATCTCGTTACTTATAGGCCTAACCAAAACCTACAGCACTTACCAGCAACCCCAAGTTATCATTGCCTGTTCCACTGAAGCTATTGGAACTTCTCAAGTCACATCCCTAGTCGTGCTCAAGGGTGTCTCACATCGAGACCAGATTCTTGACTGTATAGCATTGAGTAGTTTCAGCATCTCTATGTAGATGACGAACTGTGTCAGAGAACAGAATGCCATAGGCACCAGTGGGTGTCAGGACACTGAACGCAGGACACCGGCGGGCCGCCGGAGGGGTGTTTCGGACAAAAGACTCCCGAATCATGATTACAATCTATGTGAAGCTTTGGGATGACGAGAGTCAAGATCCTTGGCATCGCCGACCCTGCTGTTATGCCGGGTCCAAGCGGCGGCCTAGCTATCTATATAAGGACCATCTCGAAGTAGGATAGGGAAGGAGTTGTCAGAGCCACAAGTGTCATCCGAGGCGGGCCGGCTTCCACCAGGTAGGAAGCCGTTTGTGGCGGCTAGAGAGCCGCTTGTGGCGAATGAGAGCCGTTGAAGCCGTTTGCAGCGGATAGGGAATCGCTTGGTTGCAGATAAGGAGCCGCTGTCCAAGATATTGGCCGAAGTCGGAGGAACACAGACATACGGAAGCAAACATCCAGAATCCAAGAGAGAAACTCGGCTGGCTATAAGTAAGGAGTCGAGACGGAGGAAGATAGAGAGGGCAGAGATCAATGCATCACCGTGGGCACCCCTACCTGAGACCGCCAGTGACCACCCGGTGCTACGTAGGAGGGACGCCCGTTACTCCCCATCACTCTGTACTATTGCCTTCGGCCTAGCCGTACCCTGACACGTTGATCTCTCCACCCGTCTCCGGGCGTACGGACCGTTGGGGAGAAAATGGCGATGCGAAGAGCCCTGATGCGAAGCCAGACCACAGCCGCAGGCACGCTGGGTGACACCGGAGGAGCTACATCGAGTAGTGCAACGACGACGACAGCGACGCAGACGAGCAGTGGCACTGTCGACGCTACGACGACAACAGCGACGATGAGGCAACTGAGCCGGTCCCAACTAGAGGAGCTCGAGCTAGAAGAGCTTGACCGTCTAGTGGAAGAAGAAGTAGTGAGGAAGAAGAAACGAGAAAGGATTGGACAATTGGAAGCTTTAAGAAGGGGAGAGCCGCATAATAGTACCGCCGGTGGGACCCAGGTTGAACCTATCGGACCAGGCCTAAAGCGACCTCGGCTTGATCTAGGAGGGAGAGGCCACTTGCCGACACTCAAGTACCGGGGCACCAACTGGTCGGAACTTACCTCGTTCATGTTAAACCTAAAGGGGAGATTCATGATGTACGCGGAGGACTTCGACACTGATGCGGCGCGTGTACTGCACACCACCGGATGCCTTGATGGGGCGGTGCAACGACGGTGGACCAGCCACGTTGCTACTATTTACAAAAACGACTTGGGGAACGTCCGGTGGGACGCTATGGAGAAGTGGCTGGAGAGGAGTGTGGCTAGCGACGATACGCGAGTGATCAGCGTGATGCAGAGACTCGATAGTATCACCCAGCGCCCCAACCAGAGCTACCAGCAGTTCATCGACGTATACGATGCTATAGAGACAGAGTGCCCTGATCAACTACCGGAACGGATACGCGTCGTCAACGTACTCAACCGCTTACGACCGGAGTTGAAGCGACAAGTCATGACCCGAGGACTTCCCTCGACTCGGTATGAGCTTGACGACGTAGCTAAGCAAGCCGAGGCGATTGAAATAAGCAGCAGACCACCGGTGTACCAACAGCCTGGCCCGAGGACCAACGCAACATCGTCCTCGACCCCAGCACCAGCAAGG